AAGCAAGAAAGATTACACAGTAAGTTGACAATACTTTAGAATAAAATTTTACTCATTTTAATGACCATGAGACGCATTTTCTGTAGGTATAACTTTAATTTCGAAAAACACGAATCAGAGTTTCAAGGTACTAGAGAGTGACCCGTTTTCTTTGCGGTTAACAATTGTATAATGCGATTCAAATAAGAATAGGAAAGCCAATGACCTCTATCTGTCAAATGCCGCTTGAAAAGTACGGTTTGCAAAAAAGAACTTGGAACCCTTTTTTAGCACTCCGCTAATTCAAGAATAAAAACCAAACATTTGTAAACAAAAAATAACAATTAATATTGATAATCAATATCGGTTGATATTTTTTTTTCACTTATTGAGCTTTGGCCATGAATGGTTGATAACTTATATCGTCAACAAAATGTCACTTTAAGTTGCATTCAGAAACTCGATTTCAAACTTTCGTTTACATAAAGGATGCATGTTCGTATGTGACCTAGTAATAGTGCATGATTATTCATAACTACTCCGGTGGTAATGCAGAGATGAGCGGAAAAGAAATGCTATAAATAAATATATTATTAATTATCGGTGTTTTTTTTCTCAATCTTAGTAAATAAATGTTATAATTTTTTTTATTATTTTTTAAAGCATGTAACTGCTTGATGTTTAAATCTAAAGAAAATATAACTAGAAAAAATTCCACGCGGACCAGGCAGCAGACGGGACTCGAACGGGTTCGAATTTTTTCTAGTTATATTTTCTTTAAATAAATGTTATTAAAAAAATCTGATGCTTATTCACACTTAATCTTAGTAAATAAGTTTTATTAAGTAAAAACTTTTTTTGCTCACTCTACCTATTTGGTTGGAATTGACAGCTATGACATCACAATATGGCGCCAATCGGTCCTATTCTTAGTTGAATCACATTATACGCCAGCATTAACGCTTTTACTATATAACACTCACCACCTTATTACAAAACGTTGAGTAAAGTTAAGCCCGGTCTAAAACTTATGCTTTCACTTTTGTTTTCTAAAAAGAAGACAAAGACAGCGTGAGGTTTAAACCAAAACTAACTTTAGTCCGCGTTTTGTAATAAGGCGGATTGAGTTTAGGTGTATTAGTCTAGCCTTTTAAACTGCCCTTACTTTACAGCACACATTACTTGCATGCACAGAAAAAAATGTATTTTTTATATCCTATTGTTTTTCTTTCGCTCTCAGTCCCTATCGAAATAAATAAATTGAAAATATTTCCAACACTCACACCAATTAGCCTAGCTCCAAAGTAAGGACTGTAAGGCTTGAGTTATGGGATACTAGGGTAACGGATAGAATACATATACAGTACATATATAAGTATATTTATATAGAAATACATATTAAACATCCATGACTGGAGTACAAATACTCGTATTCATCACACAAACATCTGCCCCCACAGGGATTCGAACCCTCTTCGGGATCTCTCGAGTCGGCCACACCATGAAACCCGGGGTACAAACCACTTGGCCACGGGCCACAGAGGTCGTCAAAATACTTTCGAAAATAAAATTTTATCTACATCTTAAGTCTTCTAAGTCCCGTATTATAGAAAGATTCTCAGTGATTGATCTAGTCTTGAGCATAGTTAGAAAGGGATGTCGCTATATATAGAACATAGCGACACCCCTTTCTAACTGTACTCAAGTAAAGATCAACACTTATTAGTTGTCATTCTGTAATACGGGCCTTAGAGCTGATTTTTCATTCGTTGGATAAAATTATTTGTCTGATATCGAAACTAACGAATGACGAATTCAAGAGTTGTCATAATTTGTTATTTCTTTTAAACGTTTTTCATATATGAATTCATTTATTTATTTTTGTTTTACTAAAAGAACTTACTACAAAACGTAGTCTTAAGTTACACCTGGGCTAAAACTGATGATGCCTCTTTTGTTTGCTAAAAAGAAGACAAAGACAACATTAGGTTTAAACCAAGACTAACTTTAGTCCGCGTATTGTAGTCAGGTTGCCCGTGAAGTTTTTTTCTCTTTTATTTGGCATATAAGTTTAACCCGAGTTAAAAAATGTTGTGCTATTTTGAAACAAGTGATACAGACAAAACACATATTACCTATTAGGCTAAAATTATAGAATAAACTGATATGGTATAACACTAAAAAACGGGTTATAAAGAGCTTATTTTTCACTATAATTGACATGTTTATTATTATTATTATTATGAATGACGCTTAGTGCTGTGATAACAATATTTGACGGGTCTCTTTTAAAACAAAGTCTCTCTCAAAGGCCTAGTTTATAAGACTAATAGGCTATTTGACAGTATGATAAATAATGTACCAATAGGGTATTTGACAAGTTTTAGAAAACGATCTCACGTTATTTACTTATGTTTATAGAGTCCATTAAAAGTGGACATTCATCATTATCTTGTGTATTTCGGTAAAAAAACTCTTTTTTTTTCTTTTTCAAGTTGCCGCGAAAAACGTATCTCTGGACAATATGGCGTCTCACTGGTGTGTGACGTCACACGACTGTCATTAAAACGTCAAACCATACAACCTAATGTCACTTTAACCGGAAGTTTACTTGCGTGTGACGTCATTTTAGACTCCACCAATCCAAAGCGTTTTGGGTCACGTCAGAATAGACAAGAAAACTATTATCTTTATCGTGGGTTTTTAGTAAAATTATGAATATATTTTCTGTAAAAATAGTAAAAACTCCTGCCAATATTCATTCTCAATACAGATGCTAACAATTGGCACTTTATTTTTAATACTGGCAAATACCCTATTCATCATCATCATCATCATCATCAGCCTATTAATGTCCCCACTGCTGGGGCACAGGCCTTCCCTATGGATGGAATAGGGAGATTGGGCCATGACCCACCACGCGGGCCCAGTGCGGATTGGTGGGTGCTAACGACTGCAAATGCAGCCGGGACCAACGGCTTAACGTGCCTTCCGAAGCACGGAGGAGCTCGAGATAGTAAATTTTTGGTCACCCATCCAATGACCGACCACTGCGAAAGTTGCTTAACTTCAACGATCGCAGCCGAACGCGCTAGCCACCTGCGCCATCGAGCTCCTCAATACCCTATTGTTGGCATCTTATTTATTAATATGAGTATTAGCAGCGATTTTACTATTCTGAAAGAACAAATAATTAATAACTTTTCTATAAAATCATTAAATAGAAATAATTTTTTGCTCCATGGTCACGTGACCGAAAACGCCTGGAATTGCCCAAGGCTAAAATGACGTCACGCGCTGGTATACTTCCGGATAGTGACATTACATTGTATCGTTTGACGTTTTAATGACAACCGTGTGACGTCACACACTATTGAGACGCCATAATGTTTCACACTCTAGTGAATCTTTCTCGCGGGTACTAGTAAATTAAATTTTTAATTTAGTATTTTTTTACTGAATTACACAACAGTAAATAACATGAGATCGTTTACTAAAACTTGCCAAATACCCTATTCGCAACTTATATGGCAGATAAACTACTAGTATTGGTTTTCCTAGTTTTTAATATGAAAATTTAGTAAATTAATCAGCACAAATTAGAAGCATTTATCAGCTAGATAGTGTTTTATATGGCAATGAACTCTCTGAAACTTCGTCACCTAAACTTATCAATAACATGATCGGGCCCCTGATTTATAAACCGTTTCAAAGTGTTATTTAAAATAAAAATTGTGCGCGGAAGCATGAGAAATAAACTATTGTATTAAGTCTTGCATTTCAAAATCGAATAACAGAAAACTAGGCGGTATTGACAGATTAGTGAAATAAGTAAAAAACTCATGTGCAATTTTAACTTAATGAGAATTATCCTTTCGGGAATAATTACTTGTAAGAACAATGGTTGCTGACCGGCACACAATTTAAGGATTAAAATAATTTTATACGTATAACATGCAATGAATATATTGAACTTAGAAAACTAATAACAATTATTTGACAATAATATTAAGATTTAATTTATTACTTACTACATATGGATATACAATTATAATTTAAAACGTCTTTTCTATCTGTCATGCATTGCATATAAATAGGTATATAATAAACTTTATAAAGAGGAAAAAAACATGTCAATTACAAAAGTCGTTTGAAGTTCTACAAAATACTTTAGTAAAAAATTAAAAAATGCGTTATTTTTATGTGATACCTCAACTACTATAATTTTCTTTGGATTACTGTAAAAAGATAAGAGTAATATTAATTTAGTTTTTATACATACATGGTGACAGGAAAACTAGACCTATTCCCTGGAAGGGGTCATACTAGAGGTCATTAGTGACAAATTAAGTCCAGTGAACTAGATGAGTGACTGGATGGTTACCATCCAGTTCTGATCCTGTTTATCTTTTACGGTAACCATCCAGTTTTGATCCCTAGTTTGAATAGTTTACTCATAATTACTGGTTTTTGGCAGCAAGTCAAAAAAAATTAAAAAATCTAAGAATTGTCACAACTCGGTAACCATCCAGTTTTGACCCATAGTGCACTGGACTTAATTTGTTGCTAACGACCTCCATGACATGATAGTACAACCCATTTCAAGGAATAGGTCGAGTTTTCCTAACACCCCGTATATAATTTTAAATTGTAGTTGAAGGGCCTTTTGGGTTGTAAAGAGAGCTTTTAATGTAGAATAGACATAATATCAATCAATGAATTAATTATAAAATCCTATTAAAATCATAATTCTTAACTTTACAATTTATATAATTCAATAATATAAAGTTATTAGTTTCATTAAAATCAAATTACCAACAAAACTTACAATTTAATTTATCTTTTCGCTTTATTTAAACACTCCTCTAGAATATATCCATCAATATTAATATAGTCCTCTCAAACTAATCAATACCAGTCTCTTCTCGAACCGCATCATCATCATCATAATACAGGCAATGGAGCAAATTTAAAGTGTTGCCACCATCAATGGATATGTTGACGTTAGCTTATAATTATAATTAATACGTAATATGTACCACATCGCCTCCGACAGATAGGAGACATTGACCCTGAAACAAATACGATTACATTATATTAATGATAATTTGTATAATGTACAACTAGTGTTAGTAGCTAATCATGTTTTGGTCCTAGTCCACGCGTATTAAAGAATAATTTTATATGATAATATCCATTATGTTTTCAGATTCTTTGTCTGTCAAATTAATTACAGCTATGGACACAAGACGCTTCGTTTTATTCACAGTACACTTTTTTAGCTGACAAATGAATGCTAATTTATTATAATGAATAAGGAAAGATGCGAACCGTTTTGCCAAATAAGTGCACGTTGTGATTTTGGGTAATTTATAAATACGTTTATTAACCAAATCGTTATACCCATTGGACACAATTACAGTCTTATGGACCGAGACAGCTACTCTCACGAAGTAAAGTCTTCTACCGCTTAGGACCTTAGCTTCTGTGTAAAGAGCATCAGTTGAACAAAGCATAGGTTTTCAGAGTGGCACCTTTAAAACCGCTCTTTGTGCTCTCTCGAGTGAATGTAATGTTAAAGAACTAGAGCCTCCCAAAACCAGGATTCAGTAGTTGATCACGTTTTGACAGAGAGCCCGATATACCATCTTTAAGACTTTTCCATCTACAGCATCTCGAAGACTTTTCATAACGCTAACTATTTTTGAAATTTCATTGGAGAGAACAGAAGAGAACTCAGAAGCAGCCCTATCAACAGAAGTGTTCGCCAAGATTTGAGACCAATCTGTTTGTTCAATTACAGATTTTAAAGCATCGGGATCGGCCCTCAATATGGTTCTGCATCTATGTCTTTGGGAATTTGGGAGCACAGTCATAAATCCCTTCATTGTCAAGTCATGATCCGCAAGTTCAACAGGACAAACCACCGCTTCTGCCTGTGCCGAGGCTGAGATGAACATGTGGTCTATGCAGGATCACTCATAAGTAGATACGTTTATACAAGAAGCTAAACCATGTACGGCTATAAGTGTAAGTTAAATAGTATGAATATGGATCAATATAGTGGCTCATATTGTAAAAGCGAATGGTAAGATATCGCTTTGGCCAGCCCCTTCCGGGTCACGTCATTGTTGCTTGATGGGTAACATACCTGGTTTTTATGCGCGTTGTCCTGTAACATGAGCTGCGTAATATAGAACGATGTGAGAGCGTTCCCGCCCAAAGCCGCCGTGTAAGCTCGCACTATCGCTAAAACCTGCAACAACAATGATTGATAAGGGGGTTATCCATAAAGTATGTCACACGTTAGGGGGGGGGGGGGGGGGGGGGGCGACAAAGTGTGGAAGGGATCCTAAGTTTCATGACATCACATTTCAAAATCTTAAACTAGCATCAAATGAAAATATCTCAACTACATAAGCAACTCTTAAGTACGAACACTTCTGTAAATAAACATTCAATCGAGCGAGCGAGGCAGAACTGTACGCTTCAACACCTTTTGTACCACTTTTCTTGCAAATAAATAAATTATTATTATTATTATCAACGCAGCACGAGCGAAACGGAGAGTGCGCATCGCTTGGCTTGGCGACTGCGTTTTATTTCTCTCTCTACAAACGGCTGAGCTGTATTGTTGTCCTTTTCTTGATAACAAATGGCGAAAAAGTAAATAAAATTCATGACAAACCATGATTCTTAAGATTTTTTTTTTCATAGTTTTACGAATGGAGAGTGTTGTCATGAATTTTGTTATTTGATTTTAAACTAATTTGTGTTCTTTATAAAAGAATAGAAGGCATTGTCTTTATAACATAGAACATACGCAATATTGAGTGCACATGCAGCGTGTTTTAATGTCCAAATGGGTCTAAATCGAATTGTGGCCATGCACCACAATTTAAGCGGATCACTTTTGAGCCGCGAATGCCGTTTGATTCAGTAACATATAAACATACTTTCACATTCATTAGTATTTAGTAGGATAAAAGAAAATAATAATAAAAAACGCCTATTTTTACTGTCAGGAGCAACGTAAAAATGTTAGACTACGTGTATATATTTTTTGTTTGAGTTACAAACATACAACAATATTAGTAAGAGTAGGAAGAATGAGATATATTAAATGTAGGATATTCTGTCCCACCTCGCTAGTGAAGGTATGCAGGAACCCGCTGAGGCCGCCCAGTTCTCGTACGGTGGTGGTTTCCCTAACGAACAGCAGCCTATATATATGTATGTCCCACCTCGCTAGTGAAGGTATGCAGGAACCCGCTGAGGCCGCCCAGTTCTCGTACGGTGGTGGTTTCCCTAACGAACAGCAGCCTATATATATGTATGTCCCACCTCGCTAGTGAAGGTATGCAGGAACCCGCTGAGGCCGCCCAGTTCTCGTACGGTGGTGGTTTCCCTAACGAACAGCAGCCTATATATATGTATGTCCCACCTCGCTAGTGAAGGTATGCAGGAACCCGCTGAGGCCGCCCAGTTCTCGTACGGTGGTGGTTTCCCTAACGAACAGCAGCCTCAGCGCGCACACTCTGCGGACCACGCGCGCGCCCGACACGTAGCAGAGTGACGTGAGAGACACCGTAGTCGGCACCTATACCAACCAATATAATACATAATAATAAATAAATATTTCCAACACTAACACCAATTAGCCTAGCCCCAAAGTAAGTACAGGCAGTCCTCGTACTTACGGCCTGTTAGGTTCTCGAAATACGCGACGTGAATCGAAAAGACGTAAGTCGAGACATCACCACGGACAGACATTGACCTCGCGACAAGTGAATTCTCGTATGCCGGAAATCGAAACAATTGACGTATGCTTGAGGAATAGTGTCAAAACATTGTTTGACACTATTCCTCAAGTAACTTGAAACGACGTAAATCGAAACGACTTAAGTCGAGGACTGCCTGTACTGTAATATACGGTGCGACAAGTATCTTTTCAACACATTTGCTCAAAAAATGTATATTTACGGAGGTGTATACATTGTTCCAAAAGTTCAAAATTACGGGCTATACGGTACGGTAAAACGTTTACCGCTCGCTCGCATACATCGTGCTTTTTTCATTACGGTTTATTATTTAATTTCGGTCGAACCTTCTTGGAAGCGCTTTTAGTCTATACCTTTGTCTCACTTTAATACGTGATGTAGTTCTGATTTTCACCACCCGCACGAGGCGGCATTTGAAAATTCGCGAATCTTATTTGAAAACAGTTTACTTCATTATTACATAAATGAGGTGTAGGTACTGTTTTCTCGCAAAGGTGTTGAAAAACTGATGACATTCGTGCCGATTGGTATTTACAAATCGTGACTATACCCTTGACTTCGTCTAGGTCTACTCGTTTGTAATAAACCAACTTACCGCAATAATATCATAAATAACTATTATGGCTCGACTCAACGATATTAAATACCCAAGATACATAAAAATATGACGTTTACAAAGACGGCTGCGTTAATTCTCTCATAAAACTAATGTATTTATTTAAAACAGGAGTTTTCAACAAGTTTACTTTCATTCTCTATCGGGCCTACTTACTGTAAGAAAATTTTATATACTTCATTCTATTTTAAGAAAGCACACTTCAATTACGTATGATCCTTTTTTTTTTTTTTGTGACGAGGGGAAATGCAGTTACGCACCATACCGTGACGCTGACTAGGCGCACGGCGTGTGTGGGACTCGCCGGCACGGGAAACAGTGCCGACCCTACTCAAGCAGGACCAGTGCGGAAGGCCACACTGATCCTACTCCACTAAAACCCCCCGGTACCCTCCTACGCCCATATGGGGGCGTCTCAGGATCGACGCACCTTAGCGTGCGCCACTTCACTGGGACGTCCCCGGGCCGGCCCGGCCCAACGAGTGGACCGGGCGACGCGCCTCAGGGGGACTGCGCTAGGGTACTAGGCAGTCCCCAGACGCGGTGGCCTATGCCGGAGCGGCACCTAGGACGCGCGGCTGGTCAGGCCGCGCCCAGACCACCTTAGGGCCGTCGAAGACCGGCAGTCACCGCTGCCTGCCTCCTTCGGCCCACCCGTCTACGCCGGAGAGGGGGGGCTAGAGCGTCCTCCTCCCGCTCCCTCTCCGCTGCCTCCTTCTGCGCCATCACAGATTCGCTCGCTACCAAGCATGGCTCTTACCATACTTGGCAGCGTGAGGCCTCCTCCGCCGAGCGCCGCGATCAGATCGCGGCGCTCATTTCACCAGGCCGGGCACACGATCAACGTGTGCTCGGCCGTGTCGTCGGGACCGGCGCAGTGAAGACACCGCGGCGTCTCCTCCCGACGGGCGACTCGGTGCAGGTAGTGACCGAAGCATCCATGTCCGGTCAGTACCTGCACCAGGCGGTAGGTGAGGGTGCCCCGCTGGCGCCCTACCCACTCCTCCAACACCGGACGAATCGCCTCGATCGTCCGGTGGCCAGCGGCTGGGTTGGCGAGTGCCTCCACCCATCGGCGCAGAGCCCTCTGCGCCTCGGTGCGGACCCGTTCAGTCTCCTCTAGAACGGGTCGCTCGCCCCGCTCTCTTGCCGCGACCCGGTGTTGATGCACCTGGGACAGTACCAGGGCATCAACCTCCCACGGGAGCGTGCCTGCTAGGACGCAGGCAGCCCCGTGGCTGACCGTGCGGTAAGCCCGCACGGCCTGGGCCGCGATCACCCTCTGCGGTCTTCGCAGGAGGGCCCTCGTGCGGGACGAGAGGCACTCCGCCCAGACCGGGGCCCCGTACAGCGCCATCGACTTTATCACGGAGTGATAAAGCCGACGGCACTTCGCCCTCGGCCCTCCCACATTGGGGAGGAGCCGTCCGAGTCCGGCTGCTGCGGCGCACAGCCGGGGAGCCAGGAGCCTAAAATGCTCCTCGAAGCTCCACCGGAGCCGGTCCCTCACCATGTCAATCTCAGCGTCCGACACGGAGGGACCAGCGGCCCTCGCCTCCGGGGCGGAACCGGAGGCCATCCTGGGGGGTGCGAAGGGTCCGGGGTTCGGAAAAAGCGTCCCCAGTATCCTTCGCAACAACCCTGGCTCCATACAGGACGTTGAGGGGGCCGCCGAAGTGAACTTACCCCTCACCGCCCTGTACGGCCTCCCCCAGGGGTCGCCGTCTAGGATAGCTATGTAACTATCCCAGGCAGCGACCTTGGCCCTGCAGATGGCAGTTCGCAGGGCCCTGTGGGCCACATTGTACGCCCGGCGGAGGCTCATCTCCTCACCGGGCGTACTCCGGGCGCGCCTACGGCACCGTAGGTAGGCGCGCCTGGCCCCCATACTGGCGGTACGTAGGATCGTGAGCTCCTGCGTCCACCAGTATACCTGCCCCCTGCTCCGTGGGCAGGCCCGCGCCCTCGGCATGGCGGCACTGCAGACAACGTTGATGTCGTCTGCGAACAGGTCCGCCATGCAATTACGTATGATCCTAATATTATATAAAAAGAAGAAATGATAGAGTAGCTATAATCAATCGTACAAATACAAACTTTGTTTGAAACCAAAATCCACATCTTTCATCTATCATCTATAATCGCATTAACAAGATTCTTAGTATCTACCCGCTGACCTACCGTGAATGCCGAAACAAGCACACACACATACACACACACACATACACACACACACATACACACACATACATGCACAAACACCCCGCTTAGTTAGTTTAAATTGTATTCTTGTGTAATTTAGATGTGCTTTGATTAGCATGAGTTGCACCAACTTATTTTAACGTTAATTGCCATGTAAATTCTTAGTAATCTAACTTTACCTAGCTCTGTGCTGTGGTGTAACTCACAATATAATATATTTAAAATCATAATAAAATGAATGACCTTACCATAATGTAACTCATGCTATGGAAGAGTGGTTCTTTTTGGTACAGGTGTCTTTACACTTAAAAAAAAGAGCCTACCTTTATCTATGTAACCAGATATATGGTAAAGAAATAAAACAATTTTAATTTAATTTTAATAATTTAATTTAACACCAATTTAAACCACATTTAGAAAGATCCTTGTCGCACTGTGCATACTACTAACTAAAACGAGGTTAAGATTATGAGGCGAATGTATGTATAAGTATATTTTACAAAGGTCTAAAAAGACAAATAATATGTCTCAAGAAAGTATTTATAACAAGAAAAATTCTGAAAATACAACATACTTTTCGCGATATAACCAATAGAGAGATAATGAAAAATTATAAACTTTTTTTTTTGATGATTCTATAGCATATCTGTATTCAGTGTTTAAAATAATGATTGACAACCTATTTAATATTCTGATAAAAATGTTAATAAATCTAATAGTAATCAAAATAGACTAATAAAGTGTTTTGATATAATGTGACGTGACTAAAAACTAGCCAGGTTCCCATGTCTATAAGACTACTAGTCACATTGGCAAAAAAAAAAACACGTTTTTTATTTCTTAAGGATTACGGACGGTACGAACATGTGACTATGCAAATAAAGACTTTGAATTTGAGTTTGACTTTTTGACATGCACGTTATAAAATGTTGAATAATATAAGAACTTACCTGTCCATTAACAACAGTCTTTTCTTCAGCAGGCTCCGAATGAGTGGATTTGACCAGTTGCTCTTCATCTAGCGTAAAAATCTCATCATCAGCGTCACCATTCCCGTTACTGTGACTCGTCTGGCCCGAGTGAGTAGTCTGTCCTATGTGACTCGTCTGACCCGATTGACTGGATTGACCAGAGTGACCGTTTTCCGATGGCTCTGGTTTGTTAGGGTCCTGTAGTCTAGTCGCTGCTCCAGATACTACTAGTTGAATTTCGTCCTAGGAATATAGATGTTGATGATGTATAAAGTAGGTAAAAGAATTAGGTTGTTTTTGTTTCTCAATAGGATAAAGGACGCTTTCAGTGCAGCATCTCGTTCATAAGACAGGCCTAACTTCTCAATATAAGACTGGGCGCATATATACGGTTTTCTGATTCGGTTTCCTGATCAGGAATTCAGATTCGGAATTCCGTGAGCCTAGCCTTTACTAGTTAGAGTTGGACAGGACATAAGGTTTTTTTTCCATTATGATAAATAAGAATAGTGTGCGCCTCGTAGACATTTCGTATGTAAGGGCGTGCATTCGGGTCTCCCAATCGGAATTCCTGATCAGGAAACCGTACAAATGAGCCCCGTCTAAGTCACAAAACTTTGCTTGGCTTTTACAAAAGAGATTTATTTTAGCGATTGGCTTTGAGTTTGGAGGGACATGCTGCTTGAATTGGATCAATATCTTATACTATCTGCAAATTTTGAGAGTTGAGTGTTCAACGCTTCATGAACCTTTCTTTTAAGTAGAGTTAAGTATATAAGTATATTAAATAGTAAGGGGTATTTGACAAGTTTTAGAAAACTCACGTCGATATAAAAGTGGTATTTATCATTATGTTGTGCATTTCAGTAAAAAACTAAATCAAAAAATCCATGTTCACATTGTCGCGAAAACGTCTCGTGCGCGAAGCGAACAGTGTGATCTGAACATTATGGCGTGTCACTGGTATGTGACGTCACAAGACTGTCATTAAAACGTCAAACGATACAATGTAATGTCACTTTTACCGGAAGTTTACTAGCGTGTGACGTTATTTTAGTCTTCGCCAATCCAAACGAAAAAATAATTTCTATTTAATGATTTTTTAGAAAAGTTATTAATTATTTGTTCTCTCAGAATGGTAAAATCGCTGCTAATATTCATATTAAATACAAATATCAACAATTCGTACTTTAATTTTAATACTGTCGAATAGCCTATTAAAGAAATATTTAAGAAGATTATGAAGATTAGATGATTCTTATTTAAGAATATCGTAATTAAAAACTCAAACCCACACATCATACATACATCAGGCAGATCGAGGCGGAAAGATGCGGCTAACAAAGCAGCGGGTTGTAATCGCCTCAGCTTATAAGCGAGCGCGTCTAAAGCTCGACCCACTTGTCTCTCCCCTGCGCTCCTCACTCCCCCACTACTTCCCCCGGTGGAGATTTTACCTCGCCAGACCTAGAGTTGGAAAAAATAAATATCTATTTGATTGAGAAATGAACAAAGGTAGCAGAAAACTTTTTAAGCAAAACCACAGACAAATAATCTTGTGCAGTAGAAGTATGAACAAGCTATAGAGTTTTCCGAGGTGTATGTGTATAAATCTAAAGAATAGTTTTGATAGAAAAAAAAAAACCACGCGGACCAGGCAGCAGACGGGACTCGAACCCGCACCCTTCGCAATCCGGGCGAATGCACTGACCAGTTACGCTACCGCGACCCTGATGGCCTCGTCGAAATTTTGCTATCCTTAAGCTGCAAGGCAGCGCCATCTCTTCGCATTGTAGGCAACCCACAATGTCAAATGAATACTTTTTCAAGTATTAAACATTTGCAAGAAGAAATAGCATTTATAATTATGTTTTTTTTTTAAACATTAACTGCTAGATGTTTAAATCTAAAGAATAGTTTTGATAGAAAAAAATCCACGCGGACCAGGCAGCAGACGGGACTCAAACCCCACACCCTTCGCAATCCGTGCGAATACACTGACCAATTATGCTACCGCGGCCCTGATGGCCTCGTCGAAATTTTCCTATCCTTAAGCTGCAAGGCAGCGCCATTTCTTCGCATTGTGTGTATGTGTATACCATTATTTTACGAAAAATTTATTTTTTAGTACGTCAAATGGTTTTTGTTATTTTACTTCTTGTATCATTTTTGGCAATCAAATTGGTGCTAATATTGACCTCTTTCAAAACTGCGTTACAAATTCAACCAATTCTAAAGATAGATACATAAAATCCCAAAAATTATACCAAGTTTCGACTGTCACATTCATATCAATCTTAAATTGCTTGAAAGTTCTAAATCCCTATTAAATCAATTCTAAATCCCTTAGTAGTAACTGATGTCTAAGTATTTCCAAATCTCAATCTTATGTCAAAAAATGTACTTATATGGTAAGTTTATTGTACAGTACTTTTATATCCTTATGATGAACAATTTTAGAAATTATTTCAGCTAGAGTAATAAAATTTTTAAAACTACTATAAATGAATAGCGCATACCTGAGTAAATGCATATGGAGGAGCACCCTTCAGTGGTTTAAGTGCGTTGGTGAAAACTTGTAAACGAGTATGCAGACGACGGGTTGCTAAAGTACGAGCTGTTTCCACCTTTAAAAATGAAAAAATCGCTAAGAGTAAAGATATGGACCTATGTAAGAACCCTGTGAAACTCCCTTTAGATTATAATTATGATCAGCAAATCTGTATTTTCTAATTAGATTATGGGCTTTTGGTAAGTATCTTTCTTATTAATTTTAATTTACGCATTACCTAAACCAAAAAAATATATATAGAAAAATATTCAAAAAATAAAAATCAATATCATTTTTTATTCAGCTAGGCTGTTACAAACACATTAACGTCGAAAAGCTACGCCATCGGTTCGCAAATCTACGGCGGGAGACCTTGTACTGAGAAAAACCGGCAAAAAACTCATTTTTCAGGGCCGTCTTTTCTCCCAGTAGTATATACAGAGTCGTCAAATTTAAAAATAACTTCAATATAAGGTACCTGATGTAACTTTTCATTACAAATATTAATAAAATGACTATACATACATACACTTTAAAAATACAGATTTAACACATAGTTTAAGAATGCTAAAGTATAGACATTAAATAAAGTACGATTAAAGTTAAATGTAACATTAATAAGTAGTATTTATATGTTTGTATGAACCAGCAATCGCTTCGCTCAACCATTTTTAGGGAACGTAACGACCCCGCCACACACGACACCGACGATGATTATTATTAGAGATAAGATCAAAAGCAGAACTAAATACGACACTTGATCACTTTGATTTTATACTGCATGTATTGTTACATTTATACTACGTAAATAATTCTGTATCACTGCATAATGTATATTTTTTCTTCACTACCCTCTATATATTATTAAATGAGAGCAATGTCTTTTACTTACTTCCATACTTCACCATCAGCCGTCATCTCAACATTTTTACTTATATTTTTTTTATATTTCATCATTATCTTTTTATACTTGCTCATCAGCATCTATAAAATTTTGCTTTATATAAAAAATACTTACATCTTCAGCTTCGTCCAGTTCCAGAACACAGGCATCTTTATCAGCGCATAAATCTAACGCTGGTGGCTCTTCACCTTCTATTTCAGGAAGAGCACCGTTAGCGTTGTGTTCTGGACCACCTGATGATAAATAAAATTTAGAGTAACACACTTTATCGTATTAAGTCTGTGCAAGTTTTAGTTTTAGTGCAGAAATTTGGCGAGATTTCTAAAATAACTATTAAATAAGATAGAGATTTGAGGAAACGCTCAGTTATTTTTTTCATGAGATTCAAATTCTCGACAAACGAGCATTCATAAAAGAATCATCATAAAAAAATAAGCGAAGTATTCGTATGCCCGTAAAATAAGAAAATTATGTAAGCAAATCAACAATAAAGTCTGTATGTAACTTTAACGTTTTCACTCATCAAACTAACAATTAATAGCTACTTACTAATTCATTTTACTTACCTACATCATATCCGTTAGCTACTTTGTTGGCTGTGAACGAGTCCCACAACGCTTTTTGTATTTCCAACGCCTCTTTATCATTTTCTATAGCCTGCGAAGAATTATTATTATCAGAAATTTCCGTGATTTTGGCGCTTGCAACAGTGCCGAAGCATCGTGGACTCGCTTGATATTGATATGTAATATTGTTGTTAAATGTTATTTTTATCATTCCTTTCCAAATTAATCGTTTTATCCGGATTCATAAGAGGATTACCAGAAAATTTGCGGATAATTTCATGTCCTCACAATAGGCTTGATGAAGCTAAGATAATATTAAGCAATGAAGAAAATTTAATTGAATATTTTTTTAATTTATTTCTTCCCTAACTTGAAAGTAATATTTTGTGGGCAATAAACTTTATTATAAGGAATCTATGTATTTGTACGAGACAGAGATTCTACTTACACTTATAAAAGCTGTAAAAAAAATCTTATTTCGATAAATACTTTTTTTTGGGGATTCTATTATCATTTTTTATTTAACAAAAACATAATATTGTGCGCTGAGAATTGCTTCATAAAACTGTAATACAAATTTAACTCAAGCACGTATAGTTTTCTTTGTAGGAATTATTTTCAGTGATTTGACCTCGAAGGTCTCGAAGGAAAAGTCACGTAATATTAAAGAGAAAAGACCTCGGCCCTGATGGCCGTGTAGAATTCTTTCTAGCCTTTCTTAAACTGCAAGGCAGCGCCATCTCTTCGCATTGTAGGCAACCCACAATTTCAAATGAATACCTTTACAAGTATTAAACATTTGAAAGAAGAAATAGCAATTATAATTATATTTTTTATTTTTTAAGCATGTAACTGCTCGTCGTTTAAACCTAAAGAAAATATAGCTACAAAAAAAAACCACGCGGACCAGGCAACAGACGGGACTCGAACTGCACCCTTCGCTATCCGGGCGAATGCACTGCCATTATGCTACCGCGGCCCTGAAGGCCGTGTCGAATTCTTTCTAGCATTTCTTAAGCTGCAAGGCAGCGCCATCTCTTCGAATTGTTATCACTTCTGTTACGCCGTTTTTGTGCTATAATAGATGTGAGTTTTCCTAGAGTAAATAAATAAATAGTACCTTAATGCGAGGCGGCGCGGGCGGCGGCAAGGCGCTGAGTCTGACGGCGGTGCCGCTGGCTAGCGCCATCACGCAGCGTTCCCCGATTGTGATTTGAGTTTGTAAGTTGAATAGTGCGTTCGCACCCTGTGAAACGACCATCATTTATAATCTATGTCTGTCGTGACCTCTTCACAATTCTAACACTTTACACCGAATCAATTAAATGTTCCGCGATGGCTGATTTTTGCGTATCATTATAATTATGTGTAAAAACCACAAAAATCAAAAAAAGTGTCGTTCCGCGATCTGATACTGTGAGTATTGTGTGTCGGGAACAAGTGCGAGTGAATAGTGAGAATGTGACCAGTGGTAGGGATATCGAGCGCAGTAAAAGACGACGTCAGTGGGTAGACCGATATGACTGCCAATAACATCTACCCGCAATTACTTCAGTTACTCCGTGATCATGGCGCTTGCAACAGTGCCGAAATATCGGAGACTCATAAAAAACAAGGGACATGGTAACAATCCCGTTAATAGTTATAATGTTAGTGACCATGAAAGTTTAAAACAATCCAGTCATGGATGTTTAATATGTATTTTTCTATATAAATATACTTATGTATGTATCAGTATATGTATTCTATTTGTTACCCTAGTATCCCATAACACAAGTGCTTACTTTGGGGCTAAGGTGATTGGTGTGAGTGTTAGAAATATTTATTTGTCGGCGAATGGCGTCTCGCTCGCTCCTACGAAACGCAGAACCGACAACAAATGTCATCAGTCGTTGTACCATTGCTTTGTGAAACGTCAAGTAATGACAATGACAGCTGTCATCACTTGGGAGTGGTCTATGCTAAGGGTAGTATTTAAGGGGGTAACGCTTCATTGGAAGGGGCATTCGGATTCAGACGTGACGACGACTTACTCAATCAAGCAAAAACAACCGACTTCGATATAATTTGGTATGTATAGTATTATACCTCACGCTCATTTTCTTTAACATTGTTATTAACAATGCAAAAGAAAAAAAAGAGCGCGCGGCATTTGAAAACCTCAGGTGGCTAGAAATAACAAAATGAAATCGTAAGCGATAGCGTTTTTCAAAACAATCCGGTTAGGCGATTGGCCACCTGAGAATACAAAAATTTTTAGGTCCCTGTGGGTATTTTTATGATATGAAAAAGTGTGGAAGGTCTTCCACACTGCTTTATGCTTAGGTATTAGTGTGGTAATCACAGATTTTTTTATGTATGTATGTATAACAGCAATTGCGTTCAATATCTTTGACAGTATGAAAAATAAAGTACCAATTGTTGTCATCTGTACTCAATATGAATAGTATCAGCAATTTTACTATTTTGAGAAAACAAATAATCAAAAACTTTTCTAAAAAATACATTTAATAGAAGTTTTTGTTCTATGATCACGGGACCGAAAACGTCTGGGATTAGATTATCGAAGACATGTGACATAACATAAAATAGTATCGCTTGACGTATTAACGACAGTCATGTGACGTCACATACAGGTGACACGCCATAATGTCCAAAGAAACGTATTGCGGCAATTTGAAAATAGAATTTTTATTTAGTTTTTTTACTGAAATACACTACAGCAGAATGTTGAATATCCACATTTAATGGACTTCAGAAATATTAGTAAGTAAAGCGAGATTGTAAAACTTTTCAAATATCCTGTCCCTTTTTAGAGCAAGCGAACACTAGATTTCTCTCGCTTCGATTGGTGGCTGCGTCTAGTGGCTTGACTGAGTCACTAGTAGTCGCGTTTAGTGGCCGCGATTAGGCACCTCACGCACTAAACTACCACGACCACGGTCAAAAAGAGCAGATAAAGTAAAGAAACCATACGAGCGTCGCGCACTTGGCCGCAACGGCCAGTTATAGTTAATCTGGTCGTTGAGGCCACTGGTCTTGGTCTTGGCTTAATGGTTGGCTTAATGTGCACTTGCTCTTAAGATTATGATGGGTCGAATCAAATGGGCCTAGGTATTACCTGCATCCTCAGTTTGGCCAGCAGCAGCTTGTGCAGCTCGTACTCCAGGAAGGGTAGCTGGTCGGAAATGTCTCTGGCTCCTGGCTCAGAAGTAGGCGCCGCTCGACGGGTGCGGGCCGCTAGTGTCAAAAACTATAATGTAGCTTTATTTTTTAAGTATTAAACTGCTACATGTTTAAATGTGAAGAAAATTTTACTAGAAGAAATTCCACGTTGACCAGGCAGCCCGCACCCTTTGCTATCCGGATGAATGCACTGACCATTATGATACTGGGACCTTGATGGCCTCAAATTTTCTATAGCCTTTCTTAAGCTGCAAGGCAGCGCCATCTCTTCGCATCGAAGGTAACCCACAATGTCAAATGAATACCTTTAAAAGTATTAAACATTTTAAAGAAGAAATAGCAATTATAGTTATATTTGCGAAGCCTATAAAAGGATAGAGAAAATTCGACACGGCCATCAAGACCGCGGTAGCATAATAGTCAGTGCATTCGTCCGGATAGCGAAGGGTGCGATTCGCTTCTGCTGCCTGGTCCGCATGGAATTTATTCTAATAAAATTTTCTTTAGATTTAACCATAATGTACCCCCAACCCAATTATTTACCTACCTTAGAAATGCAATATTCAATAACCAACTTAAACACTTTTTCAATACATTGCTCAAAAAATGCATTAACAAAGGGTTGGTAATGATGCTCGACGATCCCTTTTATGGCGCCGTGCGTATCCTTTACGGTTTTTTTTAGTTTCAATGGAACCTCCTCGATATCTCTAAACTTAAACTTTTGTCATACTTTATTACCAAAAAAAATAAAGAGACGAAAGATTTTGTAGTTCTAAATTTCACAAACATATAACGTCATTTTCTTTTTAGAAAAATTTGCTTCATTACTTATTTTATACTGTTTGAAAAATGTTGTATGACTGATTATGGTATTTCACTCTACTTGAGAAAAAATCTATAAATGTATTATTGCGATAGTGTAGGCAAGAAGGAATCTAAAAATGTTAGTTTCAGTTCATAAAATAATTATAATTTTAAAATTAAATTCAAAATTTTCAATTTTTTTAATCTGTTTTGAAACATGATATAATAGTAGACGTAGTAGCCGCCACATTATGACGTCACACCGCTAGTATATGCCAAAGTGTCAGCTGTCAACTCAGTACTTTGATGTTTTCATAACCAAAGGTACCATTTATTTACAGTACTAGTGACGTCAAGACCGCAGAGCAATATGGCGTCCACTGCGTCCAGCGTTTTCGTTTAACTACGCGCGAAATTTGAAAATGTTAAATTTCAGTGCATTTTTGAGGCACTTAACGATTGAATAAAAATTATATATTTTTTTAGTAGCAAATCAGCTCTTTAGAGTATAATTGAACACTTTTCAAAAGTGGTTGTAATACCCTATTGTTATTTACAAAGTCGTGACTTTAGCTTTAGTTGTTTGTATTATTTAGTGTTGGTTACAATTTACGTTAAATAAGCGCGATACACATCATATGGTTGTTCTCACACTACGGAAGCAGAAGTAAAAGTTACAAAAATAGACCCCGTAATCTGTGAGAATTTCAACTGTTTACTTATCACAGTATATGAGATACAGCCGGGTACGGAACCCGGCGCGCTCATGAGAAAAGAGGTAGTAACTTTAAAATTTTCAAAAATATTTTTTATTATATGATGTAACTAAAAATTTACCGTTTTCACAATTTTTCCTTTATCTGTACTATAAGATGTTACTTCGTACCAAATTTCAGGATTCTAAGTTCACGGGACCGTACCTAGGTTTTGATTCCCGTGCAATATAACGGCTGTATCTTTTGATTGCTTTGGCTTAGAAGTTTGTTTTTTTTCACAGCTCCAAGGGACAGTACACATGAGTATTAGATATGAATTTCAGTTGAATACCTCCACGCGTTCCTGAGAAAAACGGTCTTGACAAACGGACGTACGGACGGACGGACGGACAAGAAAGTAATCCTATTAGGGTTCCGTTTTTTCCTTTTGAGGTACGGAAGACTAAAAAAAACTAATAAAACAGCGTAAGGACTCACCGACAGCAGTGAGAGTGACCGCTTTAGGATAGGAAAGTAATTTGTTCGGTTTGGAACACGTTGCTAGTAGTACGGCCGGCACTCTGGCGCGTCTGGAAACAAACGCTCAGTTCAATATAAATGTAAATACTATGCAGAATTATAAGAAATGTTTACGAAAGTAATAAAGAAAATTTTACTAGATAAAAATTCCACGCGGACAAGGCAGTAGACGGGACTCGAACCCGCACCCTCCGCTCTCCGGGCGGATGCACTGACTGACCAATTATGCAACCGCTACTTTTATGGTTGTGTCCAATTTTAAGGTTCCTGTTCCTGTTCGAATCCTGTCTGCTGCCTGGACCGCGTGGAATGTTTCCTAGTGAAATTTCCTTTACATTCAAATATGTAGCAGTTAAATGTACAATAACAATTTAAATCTGGGAGTAAACATGCTAGTCAAAAAAAAATTATTTTATGGGTGACAATCTGTGCGATATAAAATTTAAAGAAAATAAATCGACTGCTCTTGAGCAACTATTTATTATTAAAATAAAAACATAACAACTGTGTTAAAATATTATTACAATAGAATGTTTTTACCATACCTTGGTTTGGTGAATACTTTTGTATGTTTTTCAGTAATTATGTTGAAAGTTGGGAGTAATTTGAATCTTCGACAAACATCATCTACTTATTAGAGGATTTTCGATAATAAATTAATTAATTGTAATAGAAAATTATCCCCAGGCAAGTCAATCAGTCATAGCATTATAACACCAATAAAAAGGAAGAAGGAAATAAAAATATTGCAAATTTTTATTGAAATTTTAGACATTAATTACTTTTAAAAATTTTGTTATTTAATAATTTCCACATACCCTAATAACTAAATAGAATACTATTAATTTATTTATTAGCCACGCCAACAGCATACACATACAAAATTCACAAAGTACCTGATGATCACACTTATTATAGGCAGGTACAACATTTATAATTGTCCTAATCATCGTCAAGAATTACAATCAGAACAAATTATATAATAAATACTATTAAAATAATAAACAAAAATATCCCTAAATACAGACCTGCAGCCCCCGCAGGTGGACAGTTCGGCCCTGTAGGGCCCCGCGCCCGGGGAATACGGCACGTGCGCCACCGAACAAGAATCCGTCTCCACTTCCTCTATGGTACCTTTAGTGCCGTTCGCCACTGTCGAAATTATACTAATGAATATATTGTTCTAAACTAGTATAAAATGCGATTCAACTAAAAATCGGACCTACTGGGCGCCATATTGTGACGTCTGTCGTCAATTCAAACCAAATAGGTAGAGTGAGCAAAAAAAGAGAATTACAACTACCTTATGTCTAAAAACGTAAAAACTATAAATAACTAAGAACTTAAATATACAATTTACAAAATATAAAATATATCACCCCCAGCGCCGCCGTCAGGAATGGTGCCCAATAGGCTGGCAGCATTTCCACGTTGGATAGCGAGGCTAATCCGTTGGCCGAGGTAGCTGCCAGCCTTTTGATCACCGGTCACCTGGGTGAGTCTCTTAGACAATTCCTTGAAGAAGGAACGAGCACTTGGACCCCATGGTCCCATGGTCTCCACACCAAATGGCACAAATATGTAGCTCTCATTGAGAGCTGAATATTTGCGCCGCTTGGAGCACTCGGCGGAGGCCGCCGCCGCGCCTGCAGCCAGGGAGGTACTACTTGTATGGCACGGAGCAAGCGTATCCACGCAAGTTGCGTCCCACACAAGAGGACGACCCTGCTTCCAGGGAATGAGCGTCATTCCGTCAGGTCTCTTGCCATCGTCTCGGAAGATGCCGCTGGGCTCTAGGGCCGCTGGCACATTGACTGTGACAAGAGCTCTGCGGATGACGTCATTGATGCAGGCGTGACGGGAGACTCGACCAGCGCTCATTTGGCATGAGAGACCATGGTGTCCCAACTCACCGACGCGAGTTCCGCAACGACAACGATGGGGGTGATTTGTCTTGACGCCGAGTCTGAGTGAAATGGCAAGTGATAGAGAACTTCTGTCAAGCAGAGTCCCGATATTGGCTGAAGGAAGAGCTTGCAGCCAGTAACCAGACTCTACTTGAAAGACCGCTAGGAGGCGAGCACGCTCAGCTGCGTTTTCAGAGGAAGCTAGAAGATCACTCTGAAGACGCAAACAGAGTGGCTCGTCCCATTGCCTCTGTGAAAATAAGGAGGAAGGTATATCTACTCCCGGGCATGCCCTGCACCAAGCATTCCTGGCCTCTGCAAGGTGAGCCGGCTCCACTACGCCTAAAGAAGGACATAGTATTTTATTAAAAAGCTCGGCTGTACCATTTGCAGAAGACAGAAAAGAGGGAAGGGCAATATGTGAAATATGGCGAGTACCAAGTCCTCCGAAACGAACAGGGAGAGAGGCCTGCTTCCAGGCGTTATCAGAAAATGAACAATTTAGAATTTTGGAAAGTGTATCCCTGAGCGAACTGTCAATAGATGACAGTAGCCCTGGAAAAAGCCAAAAATGAGTACTACGTAAAAAATATATGAATTTTGGGGCAAAAGCGCAAAAACGTATTAAATACAAAGCCATGTGAGGATTACTTTTTAACATTTTTTCGGAGGACTGCTGAAATTTAGAAATTTGTTCATCAATAAAAATCGGAATAGCATCGTCAAATATGGGGGACCCTAGGAGACGGAGTGATTTATTATCTAGAATTTTAATATTAGGAGCTAAAGCCGAAAATTCGGTAATAATGCGTTGTAACTGATCCTGTGAAAATTTTGATTCTGGTATAAATAGTTCGCATTTTGAATAATTTAGATCAAGGCCAATATTTTTAAATTTATCAATAATTATGTCAAAATCTGAAAGAACTGTTGAAATATCGCCAGCGATAGTTCCGTCATCAAGGTACCACACATTAAATTTTGAATTTAGCGAATCAATAATAGGTTGTATTGCCAAACTAAAGATAGCGGGCCCGAGAGGATCGCCTTGCTGACAGCCAACAGATGAATGCAACAGGTTGTTTTTAAAAATAAGTTTAGTCGGTTCGCTGTAGCATTGCCAAAGATATTTATAAATAGTGGGCGTTTTTTCTTTAATCACTGTAAGCAAGGCACCTCTATCTACGGAGTTGAAGGCATTCTTGACATCCACCTTCAGCACCACCTCCGCAGCGTCAAGTGATAGAAAGGTGCGAAGAGCGTGAACGGCTGCTTCACAACCACCCTTGACGCCAAAACCAAGCTGCACCGGTTGGAAAACAGCTGAAACTGTCGGTAAAATATGTTGACAGCAAATTTTGGATGCTATACGACGAAGGGTGGAGCCAACAGCTATAGGGCGGATACCGCCATCTTTTTTCTTTAGAGCAATTAAGTTGGCCCCGTAAAGGATCTCGACAATGTCTTTAGGTACTTCGCCGGATAGCATTAAGTTTACCAAAAGAGTGATATTATGTAATAGGACTCTGCCAGCGTCACCTACTGAGATTGAAAGGAGGTCTTTTAAATGTTGTGGTGACAAACCATCTAGACCACTGGCAGCGCCACTTTTGAAGGAGTATATCGCGGCTGATACGTCAGAATCTTTGCTTATTAGATAAGCAAGTGTTGTTTCAGGTGGCGAAGGAAGGAGAAGAGTTGGTGCTGGAGGTGGGTGCTTGTCTTCAAGAGCACTAAGGGTCTCCTGGCAGTTGACGGCGACAACATCGTGGCTGAACAGTAGGTTTGCGGCTCCTCGGAGATCGCCATCGCTAATTTTTGATTCAATTAATTTTATAGAACTATTAGATTTTGGAGGCCGAGAGGGAGGAAAGACTAAAGAATTCACAGAAGGATTTAGGCGGCAGTTCTCCTTTATTTTTTGTGTTAGTGATGAACTAGTACTATTTGCATTAATATGTAAAATTCTATAGGAAAATGTTAGAAGTTCTGCCCAACTCTCAGGCGTGTTTACTCTAAGCACACGTTCGATACATTGTGATAAAGAAACAGCGACTGAGGGCCGTGCAGAACGAGGTATTCTTTTTATAACTGGAAGTGTATTTTTGAGATTACCAAGAGTTTTGCAAAGTGGTTCGTTACCTGAATTTAGAGATTGCGAAACTGCTGGCACAGAGGCAGAAGATTTATACAGCCTGCCAATGTGTATATTTAAACCCCGGTTACCTTTAAAGAACCGGGGTTGTGGGCACTTATGACATTGTATCAGTTGTGCGTCGTCACTGCCAGGGACGGGATTTGCCGACATTCAATCAGAAAGAGCGTCAAGACTACACTAGAAAATATTAAAATGAAAATAACTCTATAAACTAATTAGAAAAAAACATACAAAACAAACATGAATATTATAAAAACACAACAAATTTTAAATGTCAATTTCATTAATTATCACGTCCGTCAAGGTTGCTTGGCTACCGTCACAATTCGAGCATTCTATTGGCTATGAAGAAGCGGGCACCTAGCAACAGGCGCGGCTGTTCAAGGCGTCCTTAGAAACAATCACTTCGGCAAATTGCCTGCAAAACAGCTGTTTTTATGGAGAGAAATTCCAAAGAAAAACACCACCGCACAGCTTGCCCACATGCGGGCACATGAATAAAACCTTGGGCTGCCAAAAACTGGTCTTCTTTTTCCCAATATACGTTGAAAACAATTTTTAAACAATATTATATCTGGACGATGATGATGACGGTTCTGTCATAATAGTTATTTATTAAGATTTTAAAAATGGAAGAACAAACATCAGCTTTTTTAATAAAATTTATTCGCTAAGATTGGAAAAATTAACAACCTATTTTTAATAATATTTATTTATTAAAACTGTGTGAGAAAAAACATTAATCATTAATCAGAAAAAACATTTATCCCGGACATACATACATACATACAGACAAAAATTCTAAAAACTATATTTTTGGCTTCGGTACTGATTGTATATCACACCCCAAGTATTCTTTTAAAAAAATATTCAATGTACAGTTTTGACTGTCCTACCATTTTATTGTATGTAAAGATTTAAAGATTACCCGCAACAGCGGCGTCAATCTCAGCATTGAAATCGCAGTCCAGGTTAATGACAGCTGCTGTACCGGACGCGGACAGCACGCAAACATCCTCGCTGAAACAAATATGACATTTAAACATACGCACATAAGGTTACATTCAGATGAGACTTGTCTAAAGTGGTTAACAATAGGACGACTAACGATTTTCTAAGCTGAAATGGTAATATTCCATAAAGCCCTGAGATATATCTAACCAAACTGCTGCAGTGTTCTGTAACCGGCAGCGTTGCACCGTGGAGCCCTGGCCGCATTCTCGCCCCCGCCGTCCACTCACCATATAGCTATATAATCCACACGACTTATAACCATATAGTCCACTCACTATATAACCATACAGTCCACTCAACATATAGCCATACAATCCACTCGTCATATAGCCATACATTCCACTCGCCATACAGCCACATAGTCCACTCGCTATATAGCCATACAGTCCACTCGTTATATAGCCATACAATCCACTCGTCATATAGCCATACAGTCCACTCGCCATACAGCCACACAGTCCACTCGCTATATAGCCATACAGTCCACTCGTCATATAGCCATACAATCCACTCGTCATATAGCCATACAGTCCACTCGCCATACAGCCACACAGTCCACTCGCTATATAGCCATACAGTCCACTCGTCATATAGCCATACAATCCACTCGTCATATAGCCATATAGTCCACTCGTCATATAGCCATACAGTCCACTCACCATATCGCCGCGGTGTCAGTGTATGCGATGACCGCGTTGCACCGCAGCGCCCTGGCGTGCGCCCTGAGTTCGGTCCTGAGCTCGGCCCACCACGCAGCACGGGCCGCACTCTCGCCCCCGCCGTCCACTAGCTTAACCGATCGAGCGCAAACTGTGCCCCCTGATGGATGAAGAAATAACACATTATACAACCGATTTGCCTGTCTACATTCATTACGGGAAAACATTCCAAAAGCTCGGACTCATGTGCAACAGCACACATTACATAAGTTCATATATACATACATATGTATTGAATATTTATTGTATTTTTGTAGGTGTGTATATGTATAATAGGTACTTTATGTTTATGTAAAAACATTTGAAAACATTGAAATATTAGCTCAAAATTACATAATTACGTAGCAACGATACTGCGACATTGAGATAGAGAAGACACAGAAAACCAACTACATATACAAAACACTTTAGGAAACGTCACTGTTTATCGATAGTTTTATACCAACCATGGAAAGTAGATGGTGTATGCATTTGTTATTTTTTGTTCCGCTGTCAGTTTACCATGTAGCATCCAATTTAAGGAGACTGTTATTATTTATGTTATTAAGCTTAAAATCGAAATAAAAACTTAAAATTTCTAAACTAGGTACGTTTGTGATGATATAGTACTTATATCTTACCACGAAAAAAATATACCCACCAATGTGTACAATAAATCCTGGCGGATATTCTGTCATGGTCAGGAAAGGGTATTCCAACATTTCTAGGTTATTACTGTTCATCGAAGGACGCAAGATGGCGCCACCACCGCTTCCTGTGATCGCGGCCGATGTGTTTAGAGAGCTCCCTGTCAAATTAATAAATAAAATAGTCATTCTTAAATAACAGTATCATTGCGTAAATGTTTGAATATTGTTGGTTAGGTGGAAACGCTTGCCAATATTGTTTTACAGTTACTATCACCAAATATTGGTAAGTTTATTTGCTAACTAATATCATCCATAAAATTCTGTTTTTCAGAAACAGAACAATACCCTTAGCACGAACCAATATCGAATTCGATTAGTTTGCGAGTCCGAAATGTCATTGTCAAATGTGTACAGATTTTTAGTTCTCGTTACGTACTTTGTGGCGCTGCTATTCAAGTTTAAATACATTACATTGAGATTGACATTTCGTACTCGCAAGCAATACGAATTCGATATTTGTTCTTGCTAAGGGTACAGAACTCAATTCCTAGTCATTATCAATTTTCTTACAGAAAGAAAATCAGATACTAATTTTCTGCCCAACGCTGATTGTTTCGCTGAACGTAAAAAATATTAACGTAAACGTAAAAGATAAATTATGTATTTTGGTTCGAATGAACCATCTAACACAACTCGTGTTAAATATACTTTATACATCGCACGCTTTCCGTAATTGATCTATTCCTACTTAGATACACAGAGAAAATCTTGTGCTAATGCCATCTATAGGGTGGTCGGAACATTGACGTCCAAAAAAAATTAAGTTCCCTTGTATGGTGGGGTATCCGAATCATCCCCATGTATGTTCCGCGACTTTTTATAGTTTTCAAATTATGTTTTTTTTACGAATTTTCGCCTTGGCCACCCTGTATATTATTTTATTTTATTATTGAACATACGCTATCGCTTACCTTTAGGTGTAACACTGAGATCAGAATCGGACGACCTGCGATGTATCCCCAACGGAGTGGACGATGCGTTTAAGGATGAGTTCTGCGCGTGCGCCGTAATCACCGGCTCCCGACTGCCGTACGACTCGTGGCGCGCGTGACGCGGGGACCCCTTCTCTTTCTCTCCCTTATCCCTGTCCCGCTCGCACCTGCAGACATCGCACACTGCATGCGAGTTACCACACACACTAGCGCTGTTAGTGTCGATGGCACCACACACTTTGCATAGACAACACGCATCTAAACTCTCCGTGCGATCGAAACTACTTTCAGGCAGTGACGGTATGGTCTCTAATACTGCGCCGCTAAGTATGGGATGGAAATTTTGGAGGACGGGAGTGCGAACTCTATTGTGACTAGCCTCTGCTACTTCGTTGGACATTTTGAACGACGACTCCTCGTTTTCGGAAACCGAATGTATACTATCTTGTCGAACGAGTTTTCTGTCTTTAGAAAGAGTTTTTTTCAATTCTGGTTCCGATTTAGCTTCCTCATTCACTACGTTGTCTTCATTATTTTCGTTCTTATCGTCTTCACTGTTAGGAAGTAATGTTTGAACTTTATCCACAAGCATGGTTTCAACGGCTGTTTGTATGAGTCCTGATTTTTTCATACTTTCTTCGTGTTTCTTGCTTTTGCTACTAAATAAGGATTGCACTCTTGATATTATGGAAGATTCTGCCCCTGTACTAGTTGGTGCACATGAGATTTCATCCTTTGAGCCCCTTTCATTGTTGTTGAGATTTCCTGAATCTTTAACATCACTTATTAACTCATTGGTACCTATCAAAGATTTAGCCTTATCTATTAGTATGGTTTGAACAGCTGTATTTATCAAACCTGTAGATTCTCCTTTTATAGAATTTTCTTCAGCGTTTTTGTTACTTTCTGTAGCATTATTTCTATCATGTTCTGTGTCAGTTAAAGGTACTGGTCCAGCAAATAAAGACTGAACTTTGTCTATCAGTATCGTTTCCATAGCAGTATGTACTAAGCCTGTGGAGTCCTGGTCCTTATCTTTCTTCGTTTTATAATTACTTTTACTTTTTCCCGACTGTTCAGATTCAATGCTGTTATCTGAATATTTTTTCTCAGATCCAAAACTAGTTTTAGTTGGACTGCACGGGGGAGAACTGGATGGGATTAGAGACTGAACTTTATCCATCAGTATAGTTTCCATAGCAGTGTGAACCAGACCCGTACTTTCAGATTTGCTATGTCTATCCTCTTCTACTTGTCCTAGTTTTTCAGTGACGTCAGCAAAGAATTTTCTTTCAGAATGTGAAAGATTAGGTGATGTCGGAATTAGCAAAGCTTGAACTTTATCAATGAGAATAGTTTCTATAGCCGTGTGGACTAAGCCCGTGGGTTTCAAAGCAGATTTCTCTTTTTTATGATGACGAGAGTGAAATCGATTGTCAAGATGCATATCGTCAAAAGCTACTGTTCCACTTATAGATGCTCTCGACTCTGGCTCGGATCCTATATACATTGAAACTTTTGAATGTGGAAGTTCGTCACTTTTATGTAGTTTATTATATTTTAAGCTATCTTTGTCTAAACTGAGCAAATCAGCATACGAGAGAAAAGGAGATCCTAGTACTGTATCGCTAGGGGCTTTGGAAGCAACATCGGAAGAGGAACTAGGCTGACTCATGGGGCCTTCGATTTCTGCTAGTTTTCTTTTAGGAATTAAGGAATAATGTGAAAGGCTTTTTATCATGCTGCTTTTGGAGAGTTTAGAAAGTTGATGTTTTATTTTCTTTGAAGAGCGATATACAAAGCCTTTATTTTCTACTGGAGATGACGGGGCACTAATACTTTGAGACTTTTTGTTAATGAAAGGGTTGTGAAATTTGAAATTATATTGACTTGATTTTGGAGGTACGAACTGGCTTCCTTCCTTGTCTGGTAAATGGAGTACTTCTTTTAATTGCGATACATCTTCAGAAGTTTTGTTATTAGCATTATCAACCGCATTATCGTCATCGCTCAAAGATTTAGAAGAACATAGTTCTTTCACTAAAGTTTTATCTTTCAAGGAAGTAGATGGTGAACTGTCGAGAATGCTCAATTTTCTATCCATTTGAGCGATGAATGCAGGATCGACATTATGATTCATAACAGAACGAACAACAGAGCTGGTTGTTTCAATAGTTTTCTCGGTATCGGTCCTTACGTCGGAGCTTTCATCATCTTCGTCAGAACTCGAGGAGATTTCCGAGCTCTCCCCAGAAAGAGCTGAGGAAACTGAACCAAAATATCCTGTTTCTCCAGGTAGTTTTAAAAGATTCTCTGTTCTGCAAGCAAGAGGCGTCGACGGACATGATTCTGACAAAGTTTTATGTGTTGGCAACACCGTATCGTCGGAACTTATGTTTTTCAAAGAAGTGAAGTGTATCTCTGGGATATTTTTTTCAATCGATTGACTAGTGCTGGTGTCCAAGGAACTATTAACTTTTACAGGTCGCGTTTTATCTTCATCGGACATGTTAATAATGGTAGGTTCAGATTCACTGGTGCGCCTTAATGTTGAATTTGGTGAATGCTCGGAATCTTGAGTTTCAGCAATGCAAGCGAGACTTGTGTGAGCGTGAATAACCGATCGAGCAAGAATAGAAGCCATGCCTATTCCCTGATCGGCGACGTTGACAAATGCTTTGCGAAACTTTGGTTTTTTTAGTCGCTTCAATTTCTTAATTTCATTCTTAATATCAACTAAAGATATTTTTGAAGTATCAGATGAATTAGATTTAATAGATATTTGATCTTCCTGCTTGTCAGACCTTTTTGAGCGCATGCTGCCCAGCCTTTTAAGAAAGAAGTTCGTTTTAAATTTCTTTATCTTTTTCAAGGGATTTGAAGATTCAGATTCGTCAACTCGATTTAGGAGTCTGTTTAAATCTGTTTGATCGTCAGTTATGTGCATAAGACTTTTCTGGGACACATAGTCGTCTTGATAGATGGAAACAGAACCAGCGTAACTCTTGATACTAGATTGTCTAGTTAAAATACTTTTTTCGTCATCTTCTGCATTATCAGTTTCATCTAGAAGCGATGGCGTCTTGGGATGAAGGATTGACAATAGCTTTTGTAACTCTTCTTGGTGCGTTTGGTAATACTGATTTAGATCAGTGATGGTTTCATCGTCTGTCGCCAGAATGTCCAAGTACTTTTTCAACTGTCTATGGTTTTATGTACACATTTAAGCGGAGCACACGACAAACCATGCAAATATATATTTATTAGTATCTGCAATTGAATTCGACAACTTAAGAAAAGTATGGGAAATTTTGCTATATTTAATCAAAATTTATTTTGTGAGTACAATGAGTACATACGACATTGAAAGCTAGATCTGTTTTTTTTATATTTAAAGCAACTAATTATTACTGCTCATATTTACAAAAATACTATTAAATTAAACTAATATTATTCTATTTATATGACAATTTCCAAAATACCCCTATTTTTACATCTAATAATTAAAATATACCACCTAACTAGAATTATATCAGACAAAATGTCTCCTTTGACATATTTATTCTTTGGTTGTAAACACAATACACAGAGAATGTATTTTTTTTAATATGAAATCAAACACTGTAATGTGTGAGTTAGTTGAGTGTAAATCATTTTTGTAGGAGAACGATGGCGCAAGTGGTTAGCACGTTCGACTGCAATCGTTGAATTTCAGCAACTTTCACAGTGGTCGATCATTGGATGGGTGCCCAAAAATTTACTATCTCGAGCTCCTCCGTGCTTCGGAAGGCTTGGTAAGCCAATGGTCCAGTCCAGTCCAGTCGGTCCTGGACTCGCGTGGTGTGTCATAGCCCAATGTCCCTATTCCATCTATAGGGGAGGCCTGTGCCCCAGCATTAATAGGTTGATAATGAAAAATCATTTTTATTGTTTAGTATTATAATGAATATTAGGAGTATATTGTGTGAGAGTAGCTTAGCTTTTGTACTCACTGTTGTGTGCACGGCGGAATATTTGACGGTTGACAAGGCAGTGGCAATGGAGTGATGCTTACTGCAGTACCTAGTAATAAATAATAATATAATAATAACTAGCCTAGCCCCAAATTAAGCACTGTAATGCTGACTATGGTAACGGACAGAAAAAATATACTGATACATATACATATAAATACATTTTTATTTACATTATACAAATGCTCGTATTCATCACAGAAATATTTTTCCCAACGGGATTCGAACCCGTGTAGGCAATACTATGAAAACTGGTGTACACATACCACTAGAGTCACGGAGGTCGTCAATAATAAAAATAAAATACTTGAATTTATAGCTATATTCTTTGAGGAGTGGCATGTAGTATAAATAAATAAATATTTCCAACACTCACACTAATTAGCCTAGCCCCAAAGTAAGCACTGTAAGGCTTGTGTTATGGGTTGCTAGTTGCTAGTTTCATGGTACGCCAGGTTTCATGGTATCGCCATACCATAGGCCATGAAACCCGGCGTACAAACCACTCGGCCACAGAGGTCGTCAACAAGTTACATACAAGTATACAAGTATAGAACTATGGAGCTACCACTCCTCAAATACTTGGTAGCAGATAGTTCGTCAGGAGCTCGATGTTGCAAGTATTGAGCGCGTTCAGCTGCAATCGTTCAAGCTAAGCAACTTTCGCAGTGGTCCTTCATTGGATGGGTGACGAAAAATTAACTCTCTCGAGCTTCCCCGTGCTTCGGAAGGCACGTTAAGTTGTTGGTCCTGGCTGCATCTGCGGTCGTTAGCTCCCACCAATCCGCACTGAGCCCGCGTGGTGGGTCACGGCCCAATCTCCCTACTCCATCCATAGTTAAGACCTGTGCCTCAGCAGTGCGGACATAACGGGTGCTTCTGATCACTATTCCCTTGAAATAAGGTTTAAGTTTACTCACCGATAGCTCTGGCGACGACGCAAGCCTTCCCTTCTAGGTCGAAATCTTGCTGGTATCCCACTACGGCATATTAACATAACGGTTGCTTCTGATCACTATTCCCTTGTAATAAGGTTCAAGTTTACTCACCGATAGCTCTGACGATTACGCCCGCCTCCTCTGCTAGGTCGAAGTCTTGCTGGTATGCTACCAAGGTATATTATGATGATGGGTGTTTCTGATCACTATTCCCTTTTAATAAGGTTCAAGTTTACTCAGCGATAGCTCTGGCGACGACGCCCGCCTCCCCTGCTAGGTCGAAGTCGTGCTGGTTTCCCACTACGGCATATTAACATAACGGTTGCTTCTGATCACTATTCCCTTGTAATAAGGTTCAAGTTAACTCACCGATAGCTCTGGCGACGACGCCCGCCTCTCCTTCTAGGTCGAAGTCTTGCTGGTATCCCACTACGGCATTGGCACCGAGTTCGGCTGCTTTCAGACCGACTAGTCGCTGCACCTAACGAAATAGCTCGAGAATTTTATTTTCTGTGTGGTGTGATATTCAATTTGAAATATCTAGCTCTTATTCTTAGTAAATAGTACTTGATGTGTTTATCTTTTGAAGAATTTAACTTCTACATGTCGAAATCCAAAGAAAATAAATTTTGCTAGGAAAAAAATCATGCGGATCCGGCAGCATACGGGATTCTAACCGCACCCTTCGCTAACCGGGCGAATGCACTGACTATTATGCTACCGCGGCCCGATGGCTGATAGATGGGACACTATGGATATCTATCCAGCTGTGTAAGCATCTGCTTACACTAATGTCGACACAAAAAAAAATCTTGCCGCGTGGTCGCAATCACACCAGTCTCGACATTTGTGTCGAGTGTCAGTACCGTCGTGTATCCGAGCCGTTAGATGTAAATAAAGAACTTTGCAAAGTTTCTATCTATTTTCACACTAATTCCCGGGTGGGGTATGCAGACAGAATAGAGCATCATTAGCAGCGATATAAAATACCCTAGTTACAACAACACGAACAAAAGCGAGGCCGAAACGTGTCCAAAAGGTACATTGGACGGTCGCGTGGTCAAAAACAATATAAGGCATTATTTAAACATTGAAAGTCACCTTTAAAGCATACTGCATAAGGTCTTAATTAAAACGCACGCATCAAAGACTTATGACAGTTCGAAATGCAAGCTCGCAAAATTTTACGGCTTAATGCTATAAGCGAAAGAATATAGACCTTATTTTTTTGATTCTAGGCGCAATTCTCGCTGTTAGCAATATAGCAGGTAACGTATAACCGACCATGCGTTTAAATATCACAAATATTTTATATTAATTCAGTTTATAGTAAGTATTAGAACAAAGTTTGCTTCAAATGCGTTAAATTAACAAACATTGATTAGATACCTATCGAAAAAAGGACAAAGTATTTCTATCGCATTTTTTCGCGGAGCTCTGCGGCATCTTGACTTTTCAATGGTACTGTGAACCAAGAAGGGAGTTCAAACACTTCTTGATTGGGACACATTTTGAGCGCTCGTGGTGTATCTAGGGTATTTAATATCGTTGATCATAAGGCACGGTTCATACACCTATATTTTGTTTCATTCACATTCATTACCCTTTTCATACACGCGCGCGCGATTTTGCGGCTTCTGCCGTAAATTTTCTGAATATTTTATTGACGTGTAACATCTTTGCTCTCGCTTTCCTGCAATTTGTGGGAGTAATTTCGTGAAATGGGGCGGAAGTGTGTAACAGAAAGTCGCGAAAGCGCGCGCTATTTCATTTGATTTAAGAACATATTGTTCAAATAGCTTATTCCTTTTGTAGTAGGTTTTATTTCTTTTTTTACTAATATAAGGTGAGGTTTCAAATGTTACACATCATACGCGACTACGCTTGTAAGACTCGCTCGTTTTTCTTTTTATATCTTTGTAAGTATACATACCTGGTTACTGAGATTGATGAAAGCAACCTGTCGAGCTTCATTGGAGGCTCGTGGTGTCCTGATTTTGTCAATCCACTGGTATTCCGGGTCATCGTTAACAACCAACTCTTCTACAAACCCATGGATAGAACTCGCCCGGTAACCAGGGGGAATCATCGGACCTTTGAATCAAACGTTTTAAATATGATTGAAAGTTTTAACAAGGTATGGCCTTTCCCCATTGGCTCGTTTATTACCCGTAGATTATATTGGATGCGATAGGAGCTCGATGGCGCAAGTGGTTAGCGCGTTCCTCTGCGATCGTTGAATTTAAGCAACTTTCGCAGTGGTCGGTCATTGGATGGGTGACCGAAAATTTACTATCTCGAGCTTCTCCTTGCTTCGGAAGGCACGTCAAGCCGTTGGTCCCGGCTGCATCTGCAGTCGTTAGCACCCACCAACCAGCACTGGGAACGCGTGGTGGGTCATGGCCCAATCTCCCTATTCCATCCATAGGGAAGGCCTGTGCCCCAGCAGTGGGGACATCAATAGGCTGATGATGATTGCGATATTGGTTTTTAGTAAATTATGTATGCGAACGATAATAACGACGCAATAAACGTATGACGAAATATGGTTACCTAAAGTATGGTTACCTAAAATATGGTTAATGTCTAGTTACACCTAATATAAATAACACTATTTGTATTTATACTGTATGACACAGCAATCAGAATGCAGGTGAACAATTAATGTTTATTTCACATTATGTAATGAAAGGTGACTTCATGAATCATCTCTGAAGTCATTTTTCAACTTAGCGACTCTGTAAATAATAAAACAGGGAGAAAAAAAACACACTTATTCAGAAACGAACTTTTATAAATAGCTTGATTACTACTATTCTATGCATTTCCTTTGATTGTTATAGTGAAAAGGCATACAAATTATTCTGATTCGCCAACGATCTGAAACTCACAGACGTGTTGAGTTATCGAGTCAGTATATTCATGTTACGAAGCACTCGCTTTTTTACAAAACTGTTAATAACTAAAGCTCTGAATGTTTTTCACAAACTAACACTAACATTTCCTTTATAACATCTCTTATCTATTAGACAAGTCCGTCTGTCTGTGGTGCTGTTTCAGCGGCCAAACCGTAAGAGATAGATAAAGAGAATATTTAAGTTATAAGTTAAGAATAGTCTGATAAGACTACAAACCGGATTTGAGTAACGTAGCACGGTTTTCCGGTTTTCGAGAAATCAGGTTTTGGTGAACATTTGGTTCACTGGTTTGCTAGTTTTAATATAGGTATATTACGAATATTCCGAATGAGTAATTCAAATTAATTTAAAATCCTCCAAGCAACTACAACGTTAAATGAGATACTAAGAGAAGAGTGGCGATGAGGTACTCGATGGCTCCGGTGTTTAGCGTGTTCGGCTGCGAACGAACGGCTTAACGTGCGTTCCGAAGCACGGAAGAACTCGAGATGGAAGATTTTTGGTCGCTCATCCAATGACTGACCACTGCGAAAGTTGATTGACTTCAATGGTTGCAGCCGAGCCGACAAACTCTGGCGCGGTTTTTAGTCGCGAGCCGTTATGTAAAAAATCTCGGTTTTAAAATCCGTCGCGGGTAAAAACCCCTGGTGCGGCCGCTTGCATTAGTTCCTGAATCACAAAGCTACGTGGTTAATAACCGTGGCGGTTAAGCCGTGGTGCGGCCTAGCAATTAACTGAACAATTTATCTTGTAACTAATTAACCACCTTAATATTATGGTAATATGATTGGTGTCGATTCTGGCACGATTCTCTAAATCTAAACTAAAATTTGACAACAGTGTATCCTTGTCATTCTCTATACAGAATGAAAAGGAGAGACTGATGTTCTGAGAATCACGCCAGAATTAACACCATTGAATTGTATTTAGCACACCAGACAAATCCCTGTGATTTATGGCGTGATTTTATTATAGCTTTGCAATTGTAATTTTTGATATTAAATTAAAAAGAAGAAAAAATCTGTTTTACTCATGAAGTTTGCTGCTACCTATATCGCAAAGAAAGGAGTGAATATGTGCTTGCAACCACTGATTTTACTAAAAATTCGCTGGATTTTTTTTTATCACTCACAGTGGAAGAACTGGACACCGCAGCTGGAGGTCTTGTACTTGTTGAAGTCCGAGAATAGTTCCACCTTCACGATGACGTTCAGCTCTCCTCGGATGCCGTGCATCGTATCGAAGACCGGTATCCAACCGGATAACACAGCACCTGTGGACAAGTAACAATTCACTATATCCTATTCACCATCAGCATCATTTTCCATACTGTGGCGGCAACAACTACACGCACCACTAAACGAATTTAGACATTACTTGCCCCACAGAAAATAGAAAGAGATCAGAAGGGTGATCATAGACCGTTTGTACGGGAACAGAGGTCGCCGGTTCGTCCACACTACACTTCCACCTAATAGATAATAGGGAATCGAAGGACGCGACATCAAACAATCGGACCAATCAGCGCTCACACCCGAGAGCAACGATGCAATCAGAACCAAGTTTTGGTCAAGCTTGCTCAAACATAACTGTGGCGCGCCAGCCCCGCCCACAAGGCCCTTCTATCCTCTTTCTATGTTCTGTGACTTGGCCTGCCAACAGATAGCGCTACTGGCTGAGGAGGCTGCAGGAGCACAAGCCTCTTTTAGCCTATGGCCATGATTTCTCCATTGTTTTTGCTTGTCTTTAATTTTAAGTAAATATGTTGTGGTTGATATAAGTGGTTATGGGTAGTCATGCTCTCTTAAAAGTCTCTTCGGTGGTGTCGTGTGAGGCGGGTCGTTACGTTCCCTAAAATATGGTTAAGCGAAGCGATGGCTGGTTCATGCGTCATGCTCGTGAACGGGTGCTGCCAGCGAAGATGAGTTTACCCTGACTACTTTGATATTTAAGATGTAAATGTTTAATTACATCTATTATAAATAACTCTGTTTGTATTTATACTGTGTGACACAGCAATCAAAATGCAGGTGAACAATTAATGTATAATTTCACATTATGTAATGAAAGGTGAAGTCATTTTTCCTGTAAATGATAAAATAGGGTGAAAAAAACAGCCCTTGCTGAGTTTCTTGCCGGTTCTTTTCAGTACAAGTTCTCCCGCCGTAGATTTACGAACCGATGGCGTAGCTTTTAGACATTCATATGTGCTTGTAACAGCCTAAACTTAATAAATGATTTTGATTATTGTTGATTATGATTATATGGTTGGAATAAGCGTTGCCAGGGGTCTGGATAAAGCCGGACATAGTAAGGCTTTTTGAATACGTGTCCGGCCAAAAAAAACGGTGTCCGGCTTTTGTTAGACTTTTTGCATTACTGTTTATGTTTCGCGACCTGGCAATCCTAATTGGAATAGGAAGATTGGGTCATGTCCTACGACGCGCGGCCAGTAAAGATTGTTCGGTGCTAACGCCTGCAGATACAGCTAGGACCAACAACTTAAGAGTGGGTTCCGAAGCACGGAGGGCCACCCTAAATTGGGTGGTCCTCTGGCTGGCCAATGCACACTAACTTCCTCAAATGCTGGCCGAACGTGGTTACCACTTGGGCCAACCTTTGCAGTAAACGCAAAGAAAAGTTGACCAAAAATAAATAAACATATAACAGGCAATATTGCCTGTTATATGTTATAATATATTGTACAGTGCTTTTCTAGAATTGAAACTAAGAGCAACATGAACATAATTATAGCCACTACGCTGGTCAGGGCCGAGAACCGGTCGAGTAGGCCGTCGGAAAATGTGGTGACTTCGAAACATCCGCGAGTGGACAAGTGCGTCAAGAGCGTCGCGGAACTGTTTCGAGCGAGGTTTTCAAGGCTGATGTCAACCTTCAGTATTTGGAGAGGAACAAGGAGAAGGCCTCTGGTAGATTACCATAAATATTCTGCAGCAGATTTCTCTTCTTATATATAAAATTCTCATGTCACAATGTTATTTACCATACTCCTCCAAAACGACCTGACCAATTTTTATGAAATTTTATATGCATATTCCGTGGGTCTGACAATCGGCTACTATCTATTTTTCATATCCTTAAATGATAATGGTTGTCCACCTGTAACGTAGTGTTGTAAAACCTACAATACGCCTTCGTGCCAAAATTCAAACTATTGGGTATTGTAATGTAGTAGTGTTCTCATATGGGTTAGGAGAAATATTATCCCAGGAAATTGATAGAACACTATGTTACACACCCCTAAATTTTTTGGAAAATATTTATTTTTTTATAATGTGGTATTAAAAAATACATACAACCCTAAATTTTCTCTGCCTGCCGCTATTTTTATGGCGGTACGAAGTTTGCTGGGTCAGCTAGTAATACATAATAATTACCACCAGGAGGGCCAGCAGTGCCCTTTGTGTTGTTGGCCTCCCTGGCGAGGAGGGGAGCTAAGCTGATGACCACCTTTCCGATGGCGTCATTCGCCGAATACGTATCGTGGTCCATGAGACGCAGCTGCAGAGGCTCATCTTGCAGTTCTGACTCGTCCACCTGGGAAAATACAAAAATAATCTAAGTTGTCAATTAATTCAATTGATTTACAACAGTATCAAAATGATCACAGATTGTGGTAACTACATTTGACTGCAAATAAATCGGGTTATGCGCTAGGATCTCGATAATCTGATCTGTTTTTTTACAAAAAGTGTAATACTTACACCTATCAAAATTATACATACAGAAAGTGTGTTTCATAATGATCAAAATGAGTAAAATATTATCCTAAATTACAGTTCTACAATAACTTTTGAAGACATATTAAAGGTTGCAGGCGATGTTTAATGGGTCTTCAAAAGTTAATGTATACCAAAAACTCAAGACAGAATGGTTGAAGGGGTGATGATAATGAAGCCCTAAAGAAATGAATTCAAGAATCACAAAATAAGCTGATAATTTTATACAAATAGTTCAGTAAGCTGGGAAATAAGGTATATTTTTCTGGAAAATTTGTAAAAAACAGTGTTTCAAGACAAAAGTTTTTGATCAGTGAGTGTTGCCATTGCTGTGATAATTTAATGGAAGTCATACCTAGTGAAAGAAAATATAGTAATTTACTATGGTTGACAAAGCAATGCTAAAGATTTCACAGTAGGCATTGGAGAGTGAAATATTAGTTTGTTCTCATGAGTACTGTTTTTTTTTTATTAATACTAAATTTCTTTTTTGTTGTGTTGAAAATTTTTATTTTCAAAATTTATTTATCAATATTTTTGGGGTAATGGCGCTATTTGAAAACCTGACAATAGGCCAGACTGGAGGTTCAAATGTACCCAGGTTACCCCCTTTTTGGTAATCAGAGGATTTTGTATATCTTGACTAGGTAAATCAACTAGAATGACATCTCAAACTTTACAACAAAATGATGATGACAAATTCAACCTAATGATTTTGTAAAACATTGGAACACAGCAATGGCTGCTCAACAAATAAACTTTAGTAACCATTACATTTGATTATACTACTGAAGATATAATGCTTAATGTTATAGCACAAGTACTCCACATACACACATCCTTTTATTATTACTTTGCATTATGTACAGTAAAATAAAATATTACATTCACAGTTAAAATTGTAAATGTTTTGTAACAATTGCTCAAAAACTTTAGTTTCTCATCTTTTCTCCTCATCTATTAGAATGAACACAAAAATGTGTAGATGCACATAAAAATGCCACTTTGCATAATAATAAAACCAAAACATACTAGACAGACAGCAGACAAACATTTAAAAATACTCCCACAACACTTGGTATCAGAGTTGCGTCCTTGCCAAGTGCTGAAACATCAATATGTTTATAAAATATGACCTTGACATCTATACAGTTACTGACTGGAAGAGTTTTAAATCGATCTTTTATTTTCAACAATTATAATAGTTTATGCATAATACTCTAAATATATTCAGTCAATTACACAGTAGTCTTGTGATATGGTATCTGGTCTTAGGAAAATAATTGACTATTCAAGAGCAGTTTTGTATTTCTTGAATTGTAAAAAAAACTATTTTTGTTTCATGAATAAGTTTTGTTTTCGTAACAAACAAATTACGAAGCACCCTAAAGTAATTTAGTGTATTTTACTCTTTATTATAAAAAGTTTATAAGAGTTGAAGGTTAGTTGATCATACCTCAATAAAGAACTCAATATTTTTGTTCATTTACTCATACACTCAATTTCTTGTAAATCCAGTCTTAATAATAGTAAGTCTTAGTAGTAGTAATTGTAGCTACTTCAAATAATATTAATAAAACTAATATAATCATACTATGTAACAGGTAGCTGCAATTTAATTTATATTGCCTACCTCAAACCTATACCACTCAGTGTTGTTCCAATGCGGGTTGAGAGACTTTCGACAAACATCAGTCTTGTGCGTAATGCCACCAAATTTGATCTCGACGAAAGCGTCGGTGGTATCACCAGCTCTGTCCATCACAGGCAGGTTCCTGCCAGCCAGCACCTTCACCTTTATTTTTCCTGGCATTTTTCTGTTTATTTATCATAAAACACGAATTTATCAATAAACAGGCAGTTGTTATATCAATAAGAGTTATTAGCACTGAATGTTTGTATCCATTTTTGATTAATTCACACTAGTTTAGCACTTTCGGAACCTCTAATCAGTAACATAACACGACATCACAATCTTATCAATATATCACTTTGGGCTTCAAAATAGCTTCTGTACACAGATAGATCTGTTGTAACTCCTTAATACAATATCATCAAAGTAGAGAAAAATCTATTTTTCTATCAAAATATAGAGAAAACCGTGTAATTTTGATAGCAATACGTTTGTTATTGAGACGCACTAGATATGCGAATAATATAAACAGAGCGAATTTGATTCCCCAGACGTATTCAAGCGGTGTTCTAAAACTAATGAGTAGGGTTTATTATTAGACAAACGTATAGTTTTATAAATAAAAATGTCTTTTCGATGCTACCGTCTCGCAAGCAAACTACAAATGTCAAATCAGATGTCAACATTAGTATTGTCAATGTCGAAATGTCAACGTCAAGAGGGTAAACCAGAGGGATAAATAACGACGCGACCGACGGTGTTAAATATGGATAGATAACGAGGAGCAAGGAACGGAAATAACCACAGACTAAAAAAAGGACTGTTGATTTTACTATTGCAATTTATTTATCTTATACTATACTACTATAAACACTATGGAAAATATATTATATTACTATTTTCGAGGACAAAAAATTAAGACAAATCTACCTAATTCGATAAGTTGAAAACTAAACATCAATTGATAAAACGATGCATCGTGTTTTTTAAAGAATCTGTAATTTAAATAATATATAAATTAAATATTATTCAGTGGTTATACTTTTTTTTTCCTAGGTAGGTATCTAAAGTATACATATGAATGAAAAACGTATCGTTTAACAAATAAAAATTTGAGAACCGTTAATCGTGTTCAATGTTGGATAAAAAACAGATGCAATACATATAGCGACATATAATAAGCTCGGAAGGTCTTATAAAGATTTTACTATTTTTGGACTTTCAAGGCTAATGATATAGAATTGAAAATTAGAAGGATACATCATTCAAAGAAAATTAATTGTCTCATCAATGAATTAACTGTTTGGGCACACTACTAGAACGAGACACATTCCATCAATTCAGCTTTGCTCTTCGGAACGATTTTGAGGGTCGCGTAAACATTCCAGTTAGTTTAAAAGTTCCTTGGCCGAGAGTCACTTCTTGGAGGCTAGGTTTCGGTGCAGTACTATAGTCTCATTTTATTTGCTATGGTTTTGTTTGCGGGAGTAACGGAACGGGCGAGTGGGCGAGTCGAATGGTTCGGTAGCACTCGGTACAGAGAGCTGTGTGTAAAGAATCTGTACCGAAACTAATCAGTGCTCTCATTTTAAACAGAAGTATATTTATTTGTCGTGTTGTGTTGTGACGCTATCGGTTTCTTCATACATTGATAACGGTTAGAAGAGAGAGTCGACGCCGTTCACACTCTACCCATACCAAATGTATGTAACAGATAGCTCTCTGATGCGTTCACAACACAACAGGACAGATTAGTGTAGTTCTACCATTAATTGCATGAACTCTGACAATTGATTTATTTATTTACCTTTAACAACAATGTACAGATTCGGTACAGAAACGGATACGAAACAAGCATTCATAGCGACCTCAGGGGACCAATAATGATCTTCATTGTATTGCGGATAGCTGCGGCCGGGGAGGCGGCCAGTTGAATTCGCTCGCAATACAAACGAGTGGTTATACATGAGCGACCAATCAGTAGGCCTATTTGCCAACTGCTTTTGACAGATGGAAGTGATAATCACCGAGTCCACTACTGATTTATTACAACGCCACTAAGATACTGATGACGACCTCCGTGGCCGAGTGGTATGTACGCCGGGTTTCATGGCCGCGTCGCCGACTCGAGAGGTCCCGGGTTCGAATCCCGGTGGGGGCAGATGTTTGTGTGATGAACACGAGCATTTGTACTTCTGTCATGAATGTTTAATATTTATTTCTATAAAAAAAATATACTTATTCATGTATTCTATCCGTTACCCTAGTATCCCATAACACAAGCCTTATAGTGCTTACTTTGGGGCTAGGCTAATTGGTGTGTGTTGGAAATATTTATTATTATTTATACTTGTTCTGAAAAGCATCGATAAATATGCAATTATCTCTTTAGTTAATCAACATCATCATCATCCTATTAATGCCCCACTTATAGGGGCACAGGCCTTCCCTATGGATGGAATAGGGAGATTGGGCCATGACCCACCACGCGGGCCCAGTGCGCATTGACGGGTGCTAAAGACTGCAGATGCAGCCGGGACCAACGGCTTAACGTGCCTTCCGAAGCACGGAGGAGCTCGAGATAGTAAATTTATGGTCACCCATCCAATGACCGACCACTGCGAAAGTTGCTTAACTTCAACCATCGCAGCCGAACGCGCTAACCACTTGCGCCATCGAGCTCCTTATCTCTTTAGTTACACACTGTAAATGTTAAAAAAGTTTGCGAATACGCCGGCAGTGCTGGCCGCGGCCGCAGGCAGTCTCTGTCTATGAAACCCATTATTCAGATAAATAACAAAAACATATTAATAGCATTAAATGCATTTATTTCTGATATATACATAATTATAATTAACAGTCTTTATTTATTCTTACAAAAAAATACAAGGCATCTCATGTATCGGTAGGTAATTTTAAAGATTCCTTAGTACCTAAAAACTTACTTAAAAGCTTAATACTTTATATTATAATGGTATCGATTCTGGCATATTTCTCTAAACCTAAACTAAAACTTGTCAACGGTGTATCTCTGGCATTCTCTATACAGAATGAAAAGGAGAGACTTATATTAAAGTTAGTTTAAAATTTACATAATCATGCCAGAATCGAGACCAGTGACAGATTTCTATTTATTACTCAGTCTTCCTAATAATTTGCTTATATCTTGACTTCCGGCCGGCGGGTTTGGTCTCTTCAGCTTATGTTTAGCAGTCATCTTAGGGATGCAAGTTTTCAACGGAGGCCTATGGTTCGGCACTGGAAACGTGTCCAACTTAGAATGGCCTCCTAAACCGTCGTAGGAAATGTCGAATTGAGCTGTGTTCAAGTCTTCCTTTGGTGAGAGTTCTATCCTCGCCGGTTCCTTGAAATGAAATGAAATTATATTTTTTGGCAAGCCAGCAACTTGGTTTACGTGAAAAATTTGGTGTCGCATACAAATTTCATCATCATCATCATCAGCCTACTAATGGGGCACAGCCCTTCGCTATGGATGGAATAGGGAGATTGGGTCATGACCCACCACGCGGGCCCAGTGCGGATTAACGGGTGCAAACGACTGAAAATGCAGCCAGGGCCAACGGCTTAACGTCTCTTCCGAAGCACGGAAGAAGACTTTTGGTCACCCATCCAATGACCGACCACTGCGAAAGTTGCTTAACTTCAACGATCGCAGCCGAACGCGCTATCCACCTGTGCCATCGAGCTCCTCAAATTTACACCCCCTTAAAAGATGATTTCTAAGATAAAATCTACCCTATGCAGAGACGTATAAATGCGAGTGTGTCTGTCTTTTACCGTTTCACAGTTAAACAGGCTGAACCGATTTTGATGAAATTTGGTATAGTATAGTTTGATTCCCAGAACTCTCTTCGAGTCCCACAAATTATCCTTTAAGTTGGTGAAGTTTGTATAAATACCTTCCTGTGGAAGATACTGAGCGGAGTTAATGGTAAATTTTCTATTCCGGAACGTTTGGTTGCATTCTTTGCCGCATTCACGAGGGCGCGTTCTGAAGGCTGAAATAAAACATTCAATTAAACTACTTGACCGTCACTGAAAGCTTTATATTGAGATAGCACTTCCGTTTCCCGTCGAATTACCATCAGTTTCCGTACTTTTATTCACCTTGTATCTGGTCCAGTGGCGACACCTGGCAGAAGCGCGGCCATTTTTGTTTTCCTATGTTTTGACAGCGCCATATTAACGCATTGGCGTTCTGACTCCCGTCGAAGCAACACGCGCTCAATCTGAGCGATCGTTGTGAGATTTTAAAGGTTTTATTATTATTAAGTGATAAAACTGTAAGTAAAACTATTTTATTTTAACGGTTTTTTGCCGTTCGTGTTATTCCAAATAGGTACTTTACGTGTTAAAAGTGAAGGAACCGTAAGTAAAACTATTATTCCTTTTGATAGTTTTTGCAGCCCTTGTGATAAGGGATATTTAAAACAAATATGTTAAATTGTGCAATACGCTTGTTTGAAAAAGTAATAATAAGCCGTGAGTAAAACTTGACGGCAATTCAAGGTGCGTTTTGTATAAAAAATTAAAGTACCTACATTAAAGTAAATTTTGCAATACTTTACGTCTGTCTTGGTCGTTTATCATAAAAACTATTTTAAGAGTGTTTTCTCTTGGTACTCAATTAATGTTTCCGTATAAGTAAATGTGAAAGTAAATTGGTAAATGTATTACAAAATACTTAATTAAAATTGTTTTACAGTTTAAGAGTGAATGAATATCGGTCAATATTGACGTTTCAGCCGCCGACTGACTGGCATTATTGGCAAAAACAGCAAGATGTGTCATTATTGTTCTTCGAACAGCTGCAGTAATAATTGGTAGAATTTGTCGTCTTCTGGTATAACGAAAGCGGCATCGCTGCCTCAAGAAAAATAAGCGAGCTTGATATTCCAGCCCTTTTATTAAAAGATTGTTCGAGGGGTAAGTGAACTATGTACAATCTTAATAAGGTATTTCTAATGTCGATATGCCGTTTTCTGAACATGACCAGCTATCAATATCTAAAGGCTTATGAATAAAAAGTTCTAACATTTTTATTGACCAATACACGTAATAAAAATTCTCATATGAGTCGTGTGGCTAAACTAGGATAAAGGAACGCTCTGTTCGAAAGACATTCAACGTTTATTTTAAATAATATGCTGATGTAAATTAAAAATTATAATCATAGCCCAGGCTTTATCAACCTGGAAACAAACAACGAGGTAAAGAAGTATGATGATAATTTATGATATATCACGTTCCTGACATTAATTTTCTTTCAGCAATTGCATATTTCTAAAATAAAAATGAATCATTGCGGGAAGGCACCTGCTCAGTTAATTTTAATAACGAAAGTGATAAGATAACAGAATCGTTTCTTAGGTCTTTTACAGCTAGCACAAAGCTAAAAAGTAAAAACTAAAGCACTGCTTAAGAAGTTAGTGATCTCTGTGATGAAGCACCACTTAATAAGATACCATCTATGAGGTTGTTTTTCTCGTATTAAGTAAGTATTTGTCATGGATTTAAGTGATTGACATTTCATCAACCTAATGAGCAACTCGCGCAGAGGCAAGTGATATTCATAAGCTTCATCTCATGAAGCCCAAGGCGTGTCAGGACATGCCCTCCCATGGCGTGCCTACGGCCTACACATATGAGTACCGGTGGCAAATCACCCTCGCGGGGTGCATATTATATATAATTTGTTTCCACTACGTGGAATCTTATTAAATGCCTCTAATGCCTTGCCTACATATACGAGTACCGGTGGCAAATCACTATCGCGGGGTGTATATTATGTACAATTAGTTTCCACTACGTGGAACCTTATGAAATGCCTCTAATGCCTTGCCTACATATACGAGTACCGGTAGCCAATCACCCTCGCGGGGTGCATATTATATGCAATTTGTTTCCACTACGTGAAACCTTATGAAATACCTCTAATGCCTTGCTTACATATACGAGTACCGGTAGCAAACCACCTCCGCGGCGTGCATATTACCAAAACTCTGATGACCGCCCCTCGCGGGGGCATATTATGTATAATTTGCTTCCTCCGTATGGAACTCATTATGAATAAGGACTTGCCTTCCATGGCTTGCCTACACATACAAGTATCAGTAACAAAACATCGTTGATAGAGAAATATCCTCATCAATCTTATAATCGCCCTTGTGGGGTCATATCACACATAATATATTATTTCCATTACGTGAATATCAATATATGTTCTCCTTAGAACATGTTAGCTTATGGAGTTCGTACTATTATGGAAGCACCGGTAAAATACGACACTCAAGTGGAGCAAATTATGCATAATTTAACATGTAGTCTATTCGTGATTCATAATTTATTTTTGTGACCATGGGGTCTGTAAAAGTGTAAACGATTCGAAACATTAAAAATAAGTAAATTGAAAATATAATAAATGTCGCTTGACATAATTCATTACTTCCATCGCGTGGAAATCCATACATGAACGCAACGCAACATACCCGCTCATGGCTTGCGTACACACATAAGTATCGGCTATAAACTACCCTCTTAATAGACTATAAAGATCGAACATCGAATGTTGACGTACCCCGTTGGGAAGTGCAATGTACGTGGTTTTTAAGGTGTCGCATACTCTGAGGTCTTGGGTTCACCCCGGTGGGGCAAATCATTGTATGATAAAAACGAGTATCTGTGCCTAAGTTTTGGTTGTTAACAAATATGAATTCAAAATCATACTAATCTATGCATCATCATTATGCATTTCTAGACGTTAGCCCATAACACAAGCCTTTCAATGCCCATTATAAGGCTAGGCTAATTGGTGTGAAGTGTTGACTCGATCACTACGGTTGTTCTACCGTAATATATAATACATTTCAAAAGAAAAAGGAATATCGAAACAATTAATGTTTGAAAAAATTTAGTGCAGGTAAGTTGATAAATTGGGAGCTCCATAAATAATTCTTAAATAAATTTAATGGTATCGCATGCCATTCAGAAGCTTGTTTATCTAAATCCAATATATATCAAACTCCAATCTCAAGTGCAGTACACTATAAATATGTAAATAATTCTAAGTTTTCTGCAATTTAAGGACTATCTGCCAGATAAATAGATGATAACATATTTTCTCTTGAAAATAACAAAAGTAAACCAAATGGGTTGCTCACTCTTTTGATCGCGTAATGAGAGAAACTTGCAATATTAGAAATGTCGTGTATGTGGTGTCTGAGGTGGCCAACATGATCATTTTGATATATAAGTGGTGCTATGTACTGAAGAAAGATTGCACGATCTACCTAATTCTTGAAAGGTTTTGAAGATCATTGTATGCAATTATCCACTTTATGTTATTTTAGTAAAAATTACTGAAAACTGTTCTTAATATTAAACTTACGCTTTCTAACCTTGCCACGACTGTCTGGAATAAATATACTTCAAACCCTACGCATAGTACATGCACACCTCATGTAAGCTGTGTAAATGTTATAAATAACTAAATCTTTATTTAGTATTAAGTAACACATATAAATGACTGAGATCTAAGAACTGAAAAACAAAAGGAAAAATTACAATCAATTATAGATTCCAGGATGGCAAATGAATTTCATAAAATCTGGTCTGAACTTCGTAATAGCATAATTTATCACGGCAACCCAGCAACAATATAAAAACTATACCTGAGAATTTCGTTGTAAAAACGTAAACTTCAGAAGTTGATCGGTTTCAACATTTTTGTCATTCCGTGGGGTTGTATCAACCACTCCCTACTTCTAACAATAATTATGAATTCACTGCAATCGACCTTGCAATCACTTCCCGCCAATCTAATCTGAAAGCTTGGGAAGTATAGTTGAAGAACACGGCTCTACCACTTAACTTCAATCTTCACTCCAATCAAATAGATATGCTAGCACTACGCTTTTCAACATATTCTACAAAGAGCGACAGCTCTGTCTTAAACAGCTATGAGATGGCTCGGAAACGCTGGCTTGCGTGGTTACATTGGTTTAGGAACAAGAATGTTTATCGGAATAATCCCGCAAGTTGTGGACTCGGCTCTGAACTAACACGATTTTTGAGAGACTTATTTTTAACAGTAGTTTTTACATGATATACCAATGGATGATAAGTCTAATTACCTAAGCTCACCTGTCTTGGCAAACACATATATATTGAAGTCGATTGTTTTTAAAGAATCAGTCCGTAACCTACTATTCTGTGTCTATAAGTTAACTTATTTCCTTTTCTTCAATAATGTACTCGTTACATCATAATGATCTGTTTCAAATACTTCGTCATGTATGTTGTTCTGAACGTCATACAGTAATTATGCTGCGTATTATTTGGTTCATTGTATTTGTTTCATTGCTGCATTGTATTTGTACCGACGAAGATTAGTTTAGCCTTGTTTTGGTTCAAAACAGGTGAAAGTAGTTAAAGACAATCCGATTGGTGACTTGTACCGAATAATGGTAATGGTAAGTGGGACCCTGATTTTTGGTACTTAAGTAAAAAGTACAGTCTTGTAAAATGTAAGACTCGGTATCGAACAACTTTACATCTTTTTCTCGCGTTCGTACGCCTTATTTGTGATATACAAAGATACAAATGAATGCTACACAAGGAAGCGTCCGGTCATTAACAAAGCAAATATATGTAGAAGTATATATATATATATATGTATATATATATATACTTCGCGAGTTTTAAGCAAAGGAATATAGCGATCAGCATATGTTAAAGCAGCTTCGTAAGCTTGAAGAAATTAAAGGCGTGATTCAAATAATATTATTTGATTCACTTTTAAGCTTACTCGTTTCTTTATACAGTTTCATATAATCTGATAAGTGTTAATATTTAAATTTATCATAAATTGTCACATTGGCGTATATATCTATGTACGTGGCGATCACCAGGCGATAACAAACAGGTCTCAATATAAAGCTTTCAGTGACGGTCAAGTAGTTTAATAGCAGCATTTTACCTGAAATAAAATGCATATTAAAATACTTACCTCACTGAAAGCTTTCACTTTAAATTCTGCCTGGTGAAATAATTGAGCCAATGAGTTAATATGGCGCTGTCAAAACATAGGAAAACAAAAATGGCCGCGCTTCTGCCAGGTGTCGCCACTGGACCAGATACAAGGTGAATAAAAGTACGGAAACTGATGGTAATTCGACGGGAAACGGAAGTGCTATCTCAATATAAAGCTTTCAGTGAGGTAAGTATTTTAATATGCATTTTATTTCAGGTAAAATGCTGCTATTTAATTAAATTTACTGCACTTATGTGGTTACACAAAGATGGTTACAAAATGCATAAAGGTACCTTATACGAAACCTGTCAGGGTATCGCAATAAATGTTATTTTATAGATAATAATTACAAAAGAGAAATTAATTTATAAAAAAATATTTATATGAAGGACCATTCATATAAATATTTTTTTATTTAACTTTATTTCTCAAATCTTGCATAAATGTCATATTATGATTTCATTTATTTTGTAATATAACTTAATGAATTGATCTTATTTACGTAGTTGTAGTTTAATTTAGTACATTTATTTTGTAATTGTAATGTATTATTTAGGGAAAATCATTTATAAAATTAAATTTGTTAATAATTAAAATTAATAAATATATATCAATAAAATACGTTAAAGATTATTATTGACTAATATCACTCGGAAGGAGGAAGGAGCTCGATAGTAGAAGATGTTCGCAGTGGTCGGTCATGGGATGGGTGACAGAAAATTTACTATCTCTGCCTCCACCGTGCTTCAGAAGGCACGTTAAACCGTTGGTCCCAGCTGCATCTGCAGTCATAAGCACCCACCAATCTGCACTGGGCTCGCGTAGTGGGTCACGGCCTAATTTCCCTATTCTATCCATAGGGAAGGCCTGGAGCCCAGCAGTGGGTACATTAATAGGCTGATGATGCTGACAAATATCACAAATTACAATCGCCACACCCAAGTACTGCTTGGGTTTCTTGATGCTTGGCAAGCAGTCATCCCAGAACAAAAAATCATTCTTTTCAAGTACATCAGTGTATGTTACGAGTATGTAAGAGTCACACTATCAGGGAAATGCCGTTTAATTGGGAGTTACAACCCTTGAAAATTGTCTCAATTAAATTCTAAAGACCTAATATGCTACTAAAATAACATTTTTTTTTTATTCAATCGTAAAGTGCCTTAGTGGTGACGTCCACTGCGTCACTTACGTAAAGTGACGCAGTGGACGCCATATTGCTTTGCGGTCTTGACGTCACTAGTACTGTAAATAAATGCGTTACCCTGATTAGGAAAACATCGAAGTTCTGAGTTGAAAGCTGAAACTTTGCATATTTGATTTGATTAGGTGTTTAGAAGTAATTAATATTTATATATATTAATTACTTCTAAACACCTAATCGAATCCTAAATGGGTATGCGGTTTTTGAGTAAAATAATTAATTATATTAAGCAAAATTTACATACTACATACAAATATACTTATTTACTTTCTTATTTATTATAACAGTGTTAAACATTATGAAATTATGTATAACAATTTTCTTTTCAATTTAATTTATTTTTAACTATCTAATGTTTACAGTATTACACGCTAATCGCTTTTGCTTTGACCCACACGACAACGTCCTTGAGTTATGCACTTTTATCAATACACAACGTGTAAGTAAAAATAGTCATGCACCTTTCTTGTTCACGCATATCAAAGACGCGTATTCACACTACCTACCCTCAAATCCAATATTATAATTCTCAAATAAATTAGTTTTTTAGTAAATAATATCAATCAATATGTTCATATTACAGTAAACTGTGTTGTATTGCATTACATTTAAAGAGTGGAGGGCTGATAACCTGAGACACGGGTTTTTTTCTAGTTCAGGTGTCAGCCCGCCATAATTAGATAAGTGACCTTTTTACTTAGAGTTTTTAATGGAATAAGAAACTGATTATGGTGAGAAATAAAGAATTATTATTATTATATACTAGCGGTGTGAAATTATAATGTGGCGGCTACTACGGCTACTATTACATCGTGTTTCAAAGCAGATTGAGTAAACTGAAAACTTTAAATTGAATTTTAAAATGCATTTTGTTATTTTTTCAACTGAAAGTAACACTTTACGACTTCTTTTTGCCTAAACTATGCATAAAAACTAAATAAATGGATATAACAATAATCTATTTTTAAATAGAGTGAAATATCTTATTCTCACAATGAGATGAAGAAACTACGTAACTCTTTTTTAGTTTGTACTTTTAAATTTTCCAAGTTTCATTCACACATTATCTTTAAATAAATTTAATTTATGAACGCTTATGAACACGACAGTAAGTAAAAGAAATAAAATAGTATGAACATACTTTCAGTTTGTTGTCCGGTGGTAACTGAGACGGTCTTTGTTGCAACGCGGAAAGGGCCAGACTGCTTTGTTTCAAACTTAAGTACGGAGAATCAGACGTTTCTATTTTCTTCACTTGTGTATTCTGTGAGAAATCAAGAAATTGTTAGATAATAATAATTTATTTTTATCATTTTCTTTTTTTAAACACTCACACCAATTAGCCTAGCCCCAAAGGAAGCACTATAAGGCTTGTGTTATGGGATGCTAGGGTAAGGGATAACTCAAACTCAAATCATTTATTGCAACCATAATGCGTACAGTGGGTGGTAGGTACTTATATAAATATGAGCATTATGGACTCCGTCGGGCACGCCAACATAAGTACATTTTCCTTTAATTTATTTTTAAAGTCTAGTAATTATTTTCTACATATACACAGTCAGGTCATAAGTATTGTCACACAGTAAAAACTTTTCTTTTAGAATGCTGGCCACATTCTAAAGGTGTAAAGACGAATGCAGTTGTGTATCAAAATACAGTCCTTGTTCGTCAGGACTGTATTTTGATACACAACTGCATTCGTTTTTACACCTTTCTCACAAAAATGTACCTCTGTTAAGCCCCAATAAGAAACTCCCAACCATACCATGAGCGAGGATGGAAAATGACCTCGTTGGACACGCGGAATACGGTTGCTCGCTTCTTCACTACTGTGTGCGTACACCTTATCATTTTGTTTGTTGTAGCTCTCTTCTATGGTAAAAATTTATTCATCCGAAAAAATATTTTCCCGATATTTTTTCCCCGCGTACCGCTTCAAAGTGCGGCATCTCTGCAGCCTCTGGTCCATTAGACGAGCATTCAAACGATGTCCTGTTTTTCTTCGATATGCCAGAAGCCCTAAGTCTTTATTAACACCCTTTTCACCGTGGTTCTGCTTAACCCCATCTGAAGGGCCAACAGTTTCTGCTTACGTTTGGGATTTCTTTGAATTCGCGCCCTTCGCAGCTTTTATCACTGCTGGAGTCCTAACAGACCGAGGGCGACCACTTCTTGACCTGACATCTACACTAGAGTCTTCATTGTATCGTTTGATGGTACGATAAATGAATCTTTTGATTATATTCAAATTCTTTTGTATGTCAAAAATTTTAATTGGCGCGTAATCGCAACGATGCTACGCAATAACTGCAACACGGTCTTCTTTAAGCGTCCACTCCATATTTAAAAGTGAGTAAAATTCTTAAAAGTATACATTTTTATTTTCATGAACAATTCGAAATTCGAATTCAATAAACTTTTTTGTGGCCAGCATTCTAAAAGAAAAGTTTTTACTGTGTGACAATACTTATGACCTGACTGTGTATATTAAACATGTGACAGAATTTATGACCTGACTAGGTATAAGTATATATAGAAATACATATTAAACATCCATGACTGGAATACAAATGCTCGTTTTCATCACCCAAACATCTGCCCCCATCGGGTTCGAACCCGGGACCTCTCGAGAGTCGCCATACCATCGGTGAAACCCGGTGTACAAACCATTTGGGCACAGAGGTTGTCTATCATATTAGTATGGTCCTTCGAGCTTCCTCAGAAATTTGTTTTACTAAAGACTTTCAAACGAAATTTGGCATTATGAAACTTGGACAACTATTCAATAATTAATGATTGGAGTAATTACGAAATATTAAGTCTGAGCGTTAGGTAATTTGTATAAGTATTGATATTATAACTCTGTAATACAAAGCAGTAAATGAAGTCACATTTTGTGTTTGATAGTTTACTGTTACTTAATATTTTTGTTCGAGTCTGTCTGGCACGGAGTTGTCCGCTTTTTTTATTTCCTCTTCTGATCAAAGCCTAGAAAATTGGTCATATAATAAGTTGTAGAAACTAAATCTGAATCCCTAGCCGGGAATGTCATTTTAAGTGAATTGTCTGTGTAAGTTCGTATGAAAAATAAATTCTTTGAACCTTCTTTTAGACGAATTAAATAAAAAATGACATGCATAAAATAAATACTATCTTAAATTTATTGTTTATTGACATTTTAAATAAACTATGTTAAATTTATTAATTTGACATTGAAATAATTAATGATTTATAGAAATATTATATTACATGCCGATAAGGCAGAATATGTCTGTACTGTACTAAAATGTATCTGTGTAACAGCTTTGTAACCTGTATTCGCAATAAAGATGATTAGATTTGATTGAACCTATCCAGTACCCAGTGGAGTTGTTCAATCAAACCTATAAATAAAATAAATAAATAAGTAATTCCAACACTCACACGAATTAGCCTAGCCCCAAAGTAAGCACTGTAAGGCTTGTGTTATGGGATGCTAGGGTAACGGATAGAATACAAATATAAGTATATTTATATAGAAATACATATTAAACTGGCTGGAGTACAAATGCTCGTATTCATCACACAAACATCTGCCTCCACCGGGATTCGAACCCGGGACCTCTCGAGTGGGCGACACCATGAAACCCGGCGTACAAACCACTCGGCCACGGAGGTCGTCAATATTTAACCTATAATACTTACGAAACTAGAATTTGTCTCGTCAATCAAAATAGCTTTATTGAGGCCCGGTGAAGTTTGTGGTTTAACCAACATCATCCTTTTGCATTGTTCATCGTTATCATCAATCAGCATGTCGTACGCTTTACGTTTCTGTGTCAACGACTGGATCTTCTCTTCTAATTGCCTGTGAGATGGTAATTTTACCAAGATTACAATAGGGATGATGACGGGGTACAGTAAACGAAATTCTATTTAGTCCGTCAGTTAGATGATCAAAAAATAATGGACACGTATTTTTTCTTTGGGCAATCAACCAAAAAATGACAAAATTATAGCGCAAAATTATATATTAATAAAGTTTGGGAGTAGGGGCTCGTGACGTCACTTTTAAGTGAATTTTCACTACTAAGTGTCCTCAAACGTGACGTCATGCGACTTTTCAAATCAATATATCTCTGCAATGTTTATATTGTGTGAAAAAAGAAAAAATACGTGTCCAATACTTTTTGATAATCTATCTGATAAACGAAGAAAAAAAAAATAGTCATCCCTATTGAGAAGGCAAGGTAAGAAAAAAGTTCAATACTATTATAATGCGATTCAATTAAGAACAGGAAAGCCAATGACCACTATCTGTCAAATGTCGCTTGAAAAGTACGGTTTGCAAAAAATAACTTGGAACCCTTTTTTAGCACTTCGCTAATTCAAGAATAAAAACCAAACATTTGTAAACAAAAAATAACAAATATTGATAATTAATATCGGTTAATATTTTTTTTTCCCTTATTGAGCTTTGGCCATGAATGGTTGATAACCTACATCGTCAACCTAATGTCACTTTAAGTTGCGTTCAGAAACTCGAATTCAAACTTTCGTTTACATTAAGGATGCATGTTCGTATATGACCTAGTAATAGTGCATGATTATTCATAACTACTCCGGCGGTAATGCAGAGATGAGCGGAATAGAAGAGCTAGATTCTGATTAATGTTTTTTCTTACAGTCTTAATTAATAAATATTATTAAAAATCGGTGTTTTTTTTTCTCAACAAGTAAATAAATGTTATTAAAAAATCTGATGCTTTTTCTCACTTTAATCTTATTAAATAAGTTTTATTTAATAAAAACTTTTCTTTGCTCATTCTACCTATTTGGTTTGAATTGACAGTTATGACATCACAATATGGCGCCCAGTCGGTCCTATTCTTAGTTGAATCGTAGTTGACTCTTTTATTATTTTTATTTTGAATCAAATATATGCGTGGCTATTTTATATTATCATTGAATTTTTTGATGTATACTTTTATACCTATTCATTTTAGTGACTGACATAACAATATTGTAAAAATCGCCAGCTTTTCAATATCGCCACGATTAGAGTAGCGGTCTTCATAATGAACCGAATAGGAAAATACCCATCCCAAAGGTCAAGTATAGATTTGTGGGTACTAAAGTTCGCAGAAGCAGCCGGGATCAATGGCTTAACGAAAAATGTAGTTTATTAATTGAATCGAGTTGAGTAACAGAATGCTATTTATTCCGGATAGCTGTAAGGTTCCTGTATGATTCTACAAAAGCTATTGTTGATTTATATCAATGGCCCTTAAGAGCCAGGGTGGGAGCTGAGACATTATGAAAAATAAGTATTTAAAAGAAAAAAATTTGCCGTCGCACATTGCCAAATACCGTGCGATAAAGACAACATCAGCTAAGGTTAAAAATTGCGTACAAAAATTGCAAAATCCGAGGTCTGGCTCTCGACGATTTTCTCTTAAATATTAGATAAAAGAAATAGGGTATTTGACAGTAGTATTCAAAATAAAGTGCCAATTGTTAGCATCTGTGTTTAAAATAAATATTGGCAGGGATTTTTACTGTTTTTACAAAAAGAATATTTATAATTTTACTAAGAACCCTCGAAAAATATATTAGTTTTCTTATCTATTGTCACGTGACGCAAAATGCTAGGGATTGGCGAAGCCTAAAATGACGTCACACGCAAATAAACTTCCGGTTAAAGTGTCATTACATTGTATCGTTTGACGTTTTAATAACAGTCGTGTGACGTCACACACTAGTAAGACGCCATATTGTCCAGAGAAACGTTTTCGCGGCAACTTGAAAATGGAGTTTTTGACATGGTTATTTTTACTGAAATACACAACAGAATTATGAATATCCACTTTTTACGGACTCCATAAACATTATTCAATAACGTGAGATCGTTTTCTAAAACTTGTCAAATACCCTATTAAGTAAAAGAGAAGAAATTATATAAAAGAAATTTAACTCATAAAGTAATAAGTAGATATACTAGGCTCATAGAGGCCTTTTATGTAAATGCCTATTGAATCTTTACACTAGACGTCTTTAGTGAAGATTTTTTTTTGTTTATTTTGAAATTTTTGAAGTCTTCGAGTTGTTTTAAAACACAAGTTATCGAAATAAGGAAGACATAGGAACATATAATGAGCAAAATTATAATATTTTATGTTAGTACGAAAATCATTTCTTCATACTAAAAATCCAGGAGAAATCGGTCGAGAATGTTTGTATGGATAAACACTTAACTCCAAAGATTTAAATCGAATCTTTACTTAACTCACACTATATTGGCCTGCAGGTCAGCTACATTTTTCTTTTCAATGCCTATCTGTTGTTTTGCTGCTTGTAATCTGTCTCTTGTGTCGTTTTTCTTTGATTCGGACTCACACAGAGCTCTGAAAATGTTGACAAAATTATTTGAGAATCTTTCACATCTGGATGGTATTGAATAATGTTAACATTCAGGTTTTAATCGTGGAAGTCAATTGTGATATTCTTTATTTTAAATGATACATTAACTATGTCACCCTTTCATCTCTATTTGATGAATTTAATCGCTTTTTGTAATAAAAACAAACATATGACGACCTCCGTGGCCGAGTGGTTTGTACGCCGGGTTTCAGAGTGTCGCCAAGTCGAAAGGTCCCAGGTTCGATTCCCGGTGGGGGAAGATGTTTGTGTGATGAATACGAGCATTTTTACGCCAGTCATGGATGTTTAATATGTATTTCTATATAAATATACTTATATATATGTATTCTATCCGTTACTCTAGTATCCTATAACACAAGCCTACAGTGCTTACTTTGGGGCTAGGCTTATTGGTGTGAGTGTGGAAAATATTTATTTGTTATCTATTATAATATGTGTATCTGTATCCCATGCATATAACATAGTATTGTTATTAATACCTTTTTAGAGCAGTAGCAAACGTAGCCACCGTCCTCACGTCAGTGTAACCCTCAAGCATTTGCTCAACTTCATCACTGGTAGCGTTCAAAACTTTCTGCAAGCTGGAATTTCCAAGAATTTTTTTTTTGCCAAATACGACTATGATACCTCTTACACACCTGGGGGCCAATCGCCTAACGGAAATGCTTTGGAAAACGCTAACGCCTGAGGTTTTCAAATGCCTCGCGCTCTTTTTTTTTCTTTTGCATTGGCAATAACAATATTAAAAAAAATGAGCGTGAGGTATTTGAAACCTTCGGCGGTCAGAAATAACAAAATAAAATCGGAAGCTTTTGCGTTTTCCAAAGCATTTTCGTTAGGCGAATGGCCCCCTGAAGATTCGAGTGGCTTTAGTACCTACTAAATGGGCTGAAATTAGAGTTAAACAACGCATTAAAGTACCGACCAAAGCGTCTATAATTTATATAATATTATGCGCCTCCTGCACCTGCGCGACGAAGTTTTAGTTATGCACTAAAATTTGCTTTCGAACTTTGAGGTAGCTCTATCGTAATGAATTAGCGGACTGCGTGCCTATAGTCGCTAAACGATAGCTTGACCGGCGATAATTTAACACACTAAAAGAGGTTGTAGAACGATAAATTTTTATGCGCAGCTGAAATAGCGTATTTCAAAGTTCGCTGTCACGCAGGTGTGGGATAGGCTTGACACAGACAAAGGATTGCAATAACAATAAGCCGTACAGCCCGCACTTTTGAATTTTCGAACAATGTATACACCTTTGTCAATGCATTTTTTGAGCAAATGTGTTGAAAATAACTATAACGATACAGCTAGTAGTACTGTAATGAGTATTAATTTTATTTATGTGCATTTATAAAGTACGTCTTTATAACACAATCTTTAATTTAGTAATTCGAATATTTGACAGGAGTGTAGTAGATAAAGTCTTTTATGCAACTGTTAAAAATTAGGCATTAACATACAACAGTTGCATAAATAACTATAAATTCATATTGATGAGGTGTTGAAATACAAATTTAGCTAAATAAGTATCTACTAAGCAGAAGAAAATTATTCAGAGTCGAAAACAAAAATCTATTATGTCCAGCTATTTTCTGTATTAGCAAGCAGGCAATTAAAAATGAAATTTAAATTCAGTAAATTGAAGAAATTCGGTTGTTAAGTACAAATTACCCATTCAATGTTTGCAGGTTTTTCTTGAGACTTTCATTTTCATCTTTTAATCTGTTAGTTTCCTTATTCTGTATCTTAACATAATCAAGTTGCTCTCTCAGTGCTGACACAGCAGAGTCTCTACTGACTAACTTCTTTTCCATGGCTTTCATGAGTTCTCTGGGAAACAATATAACAGGTAAATGAGTCAAGGCATCTTTATTGTCATTTAATAATATATGACGTGTTGCTTAAAACTAATATTAAAATTCTGTAAATAGTATGATATCAATATCTAACATTACTTCTGAAATGCCTTAAAACATAGAATGTACGAAAACTCTTTAAGTAACATTGGGATGGAATTGCTACATTCTGTTTAAATTAAATTAACAATGTTTTTTGGCATGTGAATGGATTTTTTTAAATTTCGTGTCGACTTTCCCCTACCCCGAACCGACAAGGAGCCAGCACCGGGGAAAGCAAATGTATGGCTCGTTTTTTCACTTAGCGTCTCGCGTGATGGCCTGGTGTCAAGTCTGATGATAGCAAGTTTCCCAGTTCGCCTGGCCGGCTGGCAAAACTGCATGGTATTGTATGTAACATATTAAAACGTAACATGAGTTTTGTTTGTTTGAAGAGAGAGATAGAAGGTTTCTGTTTAGTTTGCCTCATTTAATTTCCTTTGGCATTGTGAATTTTGTGTTATGTATGTTCCTATTCCATCTGCATTGGTATTTGCGTTTAGATGTAATAGATATAGCAAATACAGTCGACCGATTGGCTTAACGAGACCAATTTATATGCGCTTTTATAAGTGTCGTCGTGCTGAATTACGTGGCAGTAAGCAAGGCATAAGCCAGCACCGGTAATGGCGCGCACAGTGAAAAAATGAATCGCCGGCATCGGTCCAGGACCATGCTAGTGCTATACTGGTGCTAGGCCTGTGAGTCAAAAATCTTAATACTTACTCATTTTTCTTTAACTCAGCATTGATCGAGGCAAGCTTATCATCTTTCTCTTTTACAGACGCCTTTTGCTGTCTCAGTTGCAACTGTGCATCGTCAAGTCTGGATTGTAAGGTGGTTATATCTTCTCCTGATGTTTCGTTTGAAATTGTTGGATATATGCGAAACATACATTTGTCCGTAACTTTGTTGCGGCATTGTGGACATGATTTTGATCTAAAATAAATAAAATGATTGATGTGAACTTTTTTATGGTCTAGTTTTCCTATTTATTAAATATTTCATTATCTCTACACTAAAATAATATAATTTTAACAAAAAAAAAGCACTGATTTTTTTAACAAATAAAAAGCACTGATGACAAAACTTTTTTTTTTATAGATAGTTCCAACAAATGACTCCACCCCACCTGATGTTAAGTGAAGGTGAAGTCTAGACGCGAAGATAGCTGATACAGCAGTTCTACCTGCCACACCAGCCATCCTCACCCTGCCGGCCTGCATGTTGCTTCTTCACGCCTCTTTTAAAGGATCCCAGGTTGTCAGAGGGAGGGAACACGTGAGCGGGCAGAGCATTCCATTTACGGATCGTGAGACAAAGAAATGGGTCACCAAATTTCTTTGTACGCGTTGGAATTGTGGCCACAGTAAAACGGTGACAACGTAGGCCAGCATGCGTGGTCCTCTAAAGGAAAGGGGAAGGTGGGATAAGAGAGAATAACTCTTGCTTTTTGTACACTTGCGTTTTGTACAACAAGCACAGTTGATCGTGAAACTTTATGTGTATCTCAGGCCCTATCAGAACATCAGCGCTGTTGAGACCATCGTCAGATCAGCATCAAATCCAGAATACTTTGAAAATAAAACGACATTAGCTCTGAATACATGCAATAAATGGAAATATGATGTTGAACTTTTGTTTTAATAGAGTGTTCAGTACTAGCATAAAGATCTGCAATCATTTGCCTGCAGAAATTAAAGCACTTAATTTCACACTGTTTAAATTTAAGTTAAAAAGCTGGGTACTAAATAATGTCTTCTGTAGTCTTGATGAATAATATTGCACTTGTAAAACTAAATAAAATTTAGGCTTTTAAATGTAATTTATTAACTGAAGATAGTTCCAAGTTATTAATTTAAACATTGCATGCCCATTGTGGACACACTGTTGTGACTTTGTATATCATAACAATTGCAACTGCAAAATTGTACACACTTTTAAATTCAATAAAAGCTATTTCGGTAATACTGTACTTCCAGGGCCCAAGAGGTGATACTTGGTTTTTTTTGTAGAATCTCTTTTAATAGTTTTTTTTAGTTAGTTGATCTACCTAACTTAACCTAACCTAGTGTAAAGTATCATCTCTTGGGCCCTGGAAGTACAGTTTAGCTGCTATTTCTATTCCTTAACCCATATTATCATTGCTATTTTATATTTCTTCTATTTTGCTTTTACGATTAGTTGTGCAATGGGAGTTATTAAAAATATTTTTCTTTTCTCTTGTTTATGTTAAGTATTAATCAAATAAATTGCAAATAATTAAAAAAGTATGACCAACCTTTCTATCCATTGAGATAAACAATGATGGTGAAAAATATGACCACACTTCGTCGCAAATATATTCTCAGCTTGATTTACGAGGTCACTGCAGATTGTACACAAAATATGCATCCCCTGTAAAAAAATATTACAGCCGATATTATTTACGCTATTGTCTTAGGTTAGAGGCATTTAGTGGCAGATTCTTACTATATTTATAGCGAATAAATATTTAATTTAATTTTTTATTGGGATAGAGGTTTATTTAGTATCATTGTATTTATTTATAAATAAGCCTTACTATAAACACTACTTTTCAATGCAAATCCATGTTTAGATAATTTATGAATCAAATAATCATTAAAGAGAGAATCATTACTTACTATAAAACTGTTAGTTCATTTGATAACAATTAAAGTTTTCGTGATTTTTAAATAGATGTAATTAAAAATACATTTATAATACTCTTTGAATTACAAAAAAAATTTTTAGATGAAACCATTAGTCAGTGTTGCCAGAGCCTGCACGACGGCACGGCAAAAGCTGTCAATCACAGAGTACTGAAAAGGGTAAAGGGCAGTGTTTCCACAATGAGGGGAAATTCCCCTTTTAAGGGGAGATTAGGATCCAGAGGGGAAGAAAAAGGGGACAGACATAAAAAGGGGAAATTGCGGGAAATTATGGGTAAAGCCTAGCCTAAAATAATGCGGCACGGAACAATTTTTTTATAGAATAAGATAGATTAAGACCTTTGTTTTTCTTTAGTTAGTACACTAGTGCCAAATCTAAACACTACATCAGAATATTTTTTGAGGGGAAAAATGTCCTAAGAAGGGGAAATCTGAATTGAGGCGTGGGGAAAGGAAATCATTAAAGTGGAAGCACTGGTAAAGGGAGAACTTAACCAAAAACTTAACCAAAAAAAAAAAGAACTGTGCCTCAGGTTTACAAAACTACGACATTTTATTTCTTTTTATTTACAAAAAATAGAATAGAATAGGATACTGTTTCAGAAAATGGGAGGAAAAACCAAACATAAATGTGAAATTTGTGGCGTCAGTATTTCCCGAAAAGGTACTTCTGGAATATTTCTAGCTCGATTTCCACTGGAACCTAACAGGTAAGAAAACAATTTTGTTTTTATGTGCTTAATGTAAACAAACGTTAATGTCATTTTTTTATTTGAGTACCTATTGATAAAAGCTATTTTAACTACTGCAATTTTATTTTAGTTAAATAGCAAATGAATTATTTAAGAAAACAACAATATTTTAAAATAAAATTGGTTTTAATGTGGTTGTTTACAATTATTTCCATGCCCTGTTATTTCCACTAATTGTTATCTAAACACCAGATACAATATGGCTAGGATCAAATTTCGTTGTTTTATTTTTCAACCTATCTTTCAAATGTTTTATTGGTAAAAATATGGAATAAAAGCAGTCGATTTAAAGGGTGGTAGCGGGGAAGCTATAGTTTGCGGTCCGAAGAAATGTATACTTTTCTAAATATATTCTTGGTTGTAATTTTGAGGTAAGGACTGTAATGGGCCTTTATTGTTAAGTAATAATAATAATGTAATGGCCATTATGAAACAACCTCCCTCCATCAGTTTTTTTTTCTGGAGTTTTGTCGGCCACTCGTGGCAGCGGCCGAAAAAGCATTGTCGCTTCGCTCACACGGCTTGCACTTTATGGTTTCAACTAGGGTTGCCAACCGTTCTGTATAATCCTACTATATTAGGGGAACGAATACTATATTTTAAAAAAATATATATATTGTGGGCGAAACTACTATATTTTGCTTAAAGCATACTTTTGCCAGTGAAAGGTTTCTTAAATTAAAGACTTGATTATTAAGGCATATAGCAGCAAAAATTTTAACCACATACTGTATTTTATTAATTTTTTGCCATTACTATATTTTTAGAGAAACAAAGTTGGTAATCCTATGACAACACTAACCCAACTTAAGCTAGTGTTTTTTTTAATATTTAATTTGCACCTTATAAGGACTTTAAGGTTGTAGCAAGATAAATGAAGTTTTTTTTTCTGGTACTGACTGAATGACTTCTGAAATTACAATCTTACTACCATAAAATTACAGTCAGCCATCTCAATGAACCTTATTCTATTTTAGCCGTTTCATTTATTATTTACAAGATATTGTATGGTATTTTTATTCCAGATGCCGCTCATGGGTCAAATCGACAGGAAATGAAGATTTGGCTTATATTCCATTAATCAAATTAAATCAAAATAGATTTATCTGCGGTGATCACTTTCCTCATGATATGTTTAATGAGAATAGGAGTAGATTAAAAAAAAATGCTGTACCTACTTTAAATCTTCGCAACCCCCCACTCTCGGATGATATCCTAGCAAATTTTCCTATGCATGCACCATGTCATAAAAAAAAAGGTATCTTTTTTGTATTAAGCTCACCATTAAGCCATATTTCACATAGTTCATCATTTTAATTTGGACAGAAAATACTTTTTTTTTTTTTTTTTTTTTTGTTGCCGTCTGCTTCATGGCAATCTGTTTTTCAACAATAAGCCACTTCTTTGTTTGATTTCTCTGTTTATGTTTTCTTCAAGAGCCATACTTGTGTGAGAATACTTTTCACACGACTCTCTTGATGTCAAGTGGTAAATCTTTTACGTAGGGTCGGTATATCACTTCTTTTTAGCCGGGTGTGCTGAAGAGCGTCTTCTCCACTCAGAGCGTGTGCCAGTTTGTTTACATGGACGGTCAGTTTCTCCTGATATCTCAGACTGTTCTGAGCTATTTCCTGCCGAACTGTTTTTAGGCCGAGGTCGAGGTATATGTATCTATTACTTATACAATGAGGGATGCCAAGCATTGTTCTCAGAGCTTTGGTCTGGAATCTCTCCAGGATATCTATATTACTGTTGCTGGCCGTTCCCCACAGTTGTATTCCGTAAGTCCAGATTGGTTTTATGATAGTTTTGTACACTAACATCTTGCTGTTAGGATTTAGTTGTGATTGGCGTCCCAATAACCAGTACAGTGACCGCAGCTTTCCATCTAGTTGTTTGCGCTTTGTCCAAATATGTTTTTGCCATGTAAGTTTCCTGTCTAAGTGCATGCCCAAATATTTAGCGTTATTATCTTGAGGGATAACTTTGCAGTTTAGCGTTACCGGTGGACATGTTTCTCTCCTAAGTGTAAATGTTACATGTACCGATTTGCTCTCATTGGCTTTTATTCTCCAACGCTTCAGCCACATCTCAACTTCAGTCAGGTGGTTTTGCAACTGTAATGATGCCGTTTCTGGGTTGCTATGAGCCGACAATAGCGCCGTATCATCAGCGTATGTCGCAGTCGTGGTGTAGTCAGTTGTTGGGATATCTGCTGTAAAAATGAGGTATAGTATAGGGCTCAAGATACTGCCCTGAGGGACACCTGATTTTATTTCGTGCACTTCTGAGAGATCATCGCCGTACTTCACTTGGTAGCATCTTTTATCTAAGTAGGATTTAAGTATTCGGAATAGACAATGCGGGAGTTGCTTCTTTAGCTTGAAAAGGAGGCCGTCATGCCATACCTTATCAAACGCTTGGCTGATATCCAAAAAGACTGCAGAGCAATATAATTTGTTTTCTAGGCATCTGCTAATGGTGTCAATTATACGGTGTACCTGTTCAATTGTCCCGTGCTTTTCCCGGAATCCAAATTGGTGGTTTGGTAATGCTGTACTTAAATGTTCTTTCATCCTGTTAAGCAATATCCTCTCAAATAGTTTGCCAATAACTGGTAGCAGGCTGATAGGTCTGTAGGAATTTGCTTCGTGTGGGGGTTTACCGGGTTTCGGTACCATGACTACATGTGCAATTTTCCATTGCCCAGGGAAATGTTCGAGTCTTAAGCTGGCATTAAAGATGTTAACTAATTTCATTACACCTTTATGAGGCGGGTTTTTAAGTAATGTGGCATCAATAAGGTCATAGCCAGGTGCTTTACCTTCCTTGAGATTCTTTATTTCTTTTACAATTTCTTTTGGGCTGGTACTTTTTAGTGGAAGAAAATACTAGTATATTTTTTGTTTCATCAACTGTGCTGATTGATTATTATTTAAATTCTTTAAAATGATGTATTTATAAATCTTGCTTACTTAGCCTGTATAAAGTAAACAAAATAGGTCTCAGCTGACTAACCACATGTAATATTTTGCTTTTATTGATATATTTGCTTGCAGATATTACACTTCATTCGTCAACTGTAGCATATACTTTTAAATCAAAAAGGCAAAGAAAGGCACCTAAGTTAAAAAAAACTAAAAAAGGTAAATAACACTAAGCACTGTTAGCCATTTACAGGTTGCTTTTTCAGTGCTGTAGTTTTATCATCTGATATTTATTATTTTAGATTTGTCACATGAGTGTCCGCCAACTTCTAAATTAAAGGATGAAAATGTGACACATTATCAGAAAGTACAACATCAGATTGAAAAGAATAAAATAGGTATAAATAATGAATAAAAAATTTGCTTTCCAGTGAATCTGATGTATAGTGTATGTATTCCTATTAATTTATTTGGACGACCTCCGTGGCCGAGTGGTTTGTACGCCGGGTTTCATGGCTGTCGCCGACTCGAGAGGTCCCGGGTTCGAATCCCGGTGGGGGCAGATGTTTGTGTGATGAATACGAGCATTTGTACTCCAGTCATGGATGTTTAATATGTATTTATATAAATATACTTATATATGTACAGTATATGTATTCTATCCGTTACCCTAGCATCCCATAACACAAGCCTTATAGTGCTTACTTTGGGGCTAGGCTAATTGGTGTGAGTGTCGGAAATATTTTTTTTTTGAAGTTATACTTCTTTAGGCGCGTTATGAAAAAATGATGAGAGTGAAATTTTAAGATGCGCGCGTATCACTGTAACACAAAATTTTAACAGCATGAAGTTGGTCGCTTTAGCGACCAACTTCATGCGTTACTTTTGTGTTTACCGCACATTAAGAAAATCTACCAACAAAATAGAAATAGAATCTCTATTAAGTGGGTGCTAACGACTGCATTGTGAAGGCCTATCAAAAGTATTTATTAATCTGGAACAACGGAACCAAAGCGCGATTCAGGAGACTACAGCGCCATCTCTTGACCATTGGTGTAGTAGAACCAAAAACCACATCTTTATTTTTTGTAATAAAGTAACAGTTATAGATATTCATATTTATAATATCAAAAGTATTTATTAATCTGGAACAACGGAACCAAAGCGCGATTCAGGAGACTACAGCGCCATCTCTTGACCATTGGTGTAGTAGAACTAAAAACCACATCTTTATTTTTTGTAATAAAGTAACAGTTATAGGTATTCATATTTATAATATTTATCCACATGTTTCTAGTTTGTATATTCGGAATACGTGTTTGAGTTTCATACAAGTGCAAATCACATATGTTCTAATAAATTATATTCAGTAGCGATTTTAATTGAATATTTTGATTATTTATTTATTTTTTCAAATTAAAACTGAACTTTATTGACTGTGTCCTTTTCCAGACTTTTTATTAATTTATTGTAATTAATTATTTGCATGCAATTAAAAACTAATTTTAAACGATGCCAAAGAAGGATAACTTCTCACGCGCCTACATAAGTACACGCACCCATTTTTTTTTTTTTTTTATTTCTTGCAGATATTTTAGTAGAGTGTCTAGAATCAAATACGAAAGTGAGTACCAAGTATGGAAATATACCAGGAATTGAAGATAATAACGACACAAAGAAGAATAATATAGGTATAAATAATGAATTCAAACTTTGCTTTTCAGTAAATCTATTATGTGATGTATATATCGATATTAATTTATTTCTTGCAGATATTTTAGTAGATTGTCTAGAATCAAATACAAAAGTGAGTACTGAGTATGTAAATATACCAGTTATTCAAGATAATAACGACACAATAGAATATGTTATTGAAGATAATAACGACACAATAGAATATGTTATTGGAGATATTAGTAAGATATGTTCATTGGTTTATTTTTCCAAGTTAACCAAGTAAATAGTTTACCAATATTAAGGATCAATTGTTTTTTTATTACTTTTTACAGATGATGTCGGCTGTGAATATAGCAGTATTGAAATATCGACTAGCAAAAGAAAGCTTCAAAAGCATATCAAAAAGCTACAACTTACAAGAAAATTATTGAAAGCACTATCAAATTCATCTTTTAATTTAGACAGCCTAGAATCAGATTTCCCAAAAAATATAGTAAATGAAACACCGAATAACCAAGCCCGTGAGTCCCATGGAAAGCGGTGGAATATAAAAACTAAAATTATATGTTCGCAAATTTTTAAAAGATCACCAAGCACTTATTACCGTTTGCAATGTAATATAATAATGCCAAGTGTCAGAACTGTACGGCGAATACTACAAAGTTTGCCTATGGAACCTGGTATTACCCCAGCAATATTAAAGCAGCTACAAGACAAAGCTATAACTATGCTACCAGAAACCAAGTTATGTACATTGATCTTTGCTGTAATATCTTTAAAGAAGCAACTTTTATACAATGACAATGCAGATAAAGTTGAAGGTTTTGTTGATTATGGACCAGGAGTAGGTCAGGGAAGACGAAATGAAATAGCGGATAAGTGTATAGTTTTTATGATTCAGGGTATCCAAAAAAAATACAAACAGCCAATGGCATTTTATTTTGTTAAGGGCAATATCTCATCCCAACACTTGTCAAGTTTAATTAGTAACATAATTAAAGTTCTAGAAGATGCAACTTTCACTGTTGTTGCTACAGTTTGCAATCAAGGGCCTACAAATTGGGGAGCGTTATCCCAACTGAAACAAAATGCGCATGTACCATCAGACGCTAATTATTTCTATTTGAACAACCGAAAAATTTATATAATATTTGATGTTCCCCACTTATTCAAATCTATCAGAAATAACTTCCGTGAGGCAGGTATTATGGAGATGGACAGAAAACGTGCCAAATGGCAACATCTGCATGATGCTGAAGAAATAAATCGAAGAATGCTTTACTTTCATAAAATTATACCTTTGTTGCTTAGTCCGAATCAAAATATGAAAAGGAAAGTAAAATATGCAGCACAAACACTAAGTAATACATTTGCAGCAATTTTAAAAATGATTGCTGTAAAACACATTGGCACACAATATGGCCAAGATATAGAACAAACATCAGCTGTTATATGTGATCTTAACAATCTGTTTGATATTACTAATGGTCCTGCACACCCAGAGGATGTCATAAAAGGCAAAAGAGAAAATATATCTGATAAGACTAATCACCTGCACGTGTGGAACGATTTTTTGAAGAAAATTTCTACTATCGAATTCCTGAAGAATGATCGCAGACTGCAACTGGCAAAAGTCAGATGTGTTCAAGGTTTCATAATCACTATAAAATCATTGAAGGATATTTGGTTGGATTTACAAAACAAAGGATTTAGATCTCTCAATTTACGGCAATTAAACCAAGATTCGTTGGAACACTTCTTTGGTGTTATTCGAAAAAGTAGCCCTACAAACAGAAATCCTACGTGCAGTCATTTTGCTAGTGCTATAAGTACTGTTCTTGTTTCTAGTCAAACTCGAAGAACTAACTGTGAAAATGACACCAACAAGTTATTGTTTAAGGTATCCTTAAAAACAGGATCTGTAGCACCTTTAGGTAGTGATGGAGATCCACGAAAAGGCACCAAAAAGAAAATTGATGAATACCCAACTATAATGGTGCCTGAGACACATATGGAGGAACAAATTGAAAATAAATTAGCAGATACTGAAAATCAACCTCTGGTCTACCTGAGTAGTTATTTAGCATATAGATTATTGAAAGGCAATAGTTGCCAGACATGCTCAGATTTACTTCAGGAAAAACGTACTGGGGATAAATATAAATGTCTTTGTGAGTGGTGGAAAGATAAACGTTTGCTAAGATATCCATCTTTCCAGCTCTGTCGCATTACCGAAGTGGCGTTACTTTGTTTTAAAAGAAATCTCCATTTGTTTCACGAAGGACACGTCGGACAAAACTTCTGTACTCTCATGATGGTACAGTTAAATTTTACATGGTGGAGCTGTAATAGTCACCGTTATATGACTGAGAAAATTATTAGGTTAATTGTAAAAATTTTAATTCGACGGCAATGTCAAATATATAACAATGACTTATTAAAGGCAGAATAAATCAAAAGCATTGTGCAATAATTTCTTAGATTATGGCTCTCAGTTCTAATCCTATCCAACTGCAACAAGGATTAATAAAAGGAGATGTTTTATAATGTCGTTGCTATGTGTTAATTAATGAAATACTCGCAAATGTGTATTAACAATAAGATTTATGATATGGTTAGTGCATTTTCGAGAACTGATATAGTCTTAAGAAAAGTTTTACTAGAAAAATATCCACGCGGACCAGGCAGCGGACGGGACTCGAACCCGCAACCTTCGCAATCCGGGCGAATGCACTGACCAATTATGTTACCACAGCCCTGATGGCCGCGTCGAAATTTTCCTAGCCTTAAGCTGCAAGGCAGCGCCATCTCTTCGCATTGTAGGTAACCCACAATGTCAAATGAATACTTTTTCAAGTATTAAACATTGGAAATGAAAATTTAATCTTTACTAAAAGTTTGCTTTAAGAAGCTATACCAACGTCGAAACGCAAGAAGCTTCGAAAACGAGAAGGAAATACGCTGCGAGAAATTAAATTATTGAAAAAAATGAGACAGACCCTGATGATTTACCAGTTTTCGTCGCTCATGATCTTGTTACCGCAAGTATTGTTTGATCATTGAATGTAGATGTAACTGAGTTACTGTAAGATATTGTTAAAATTCAACATGATCTAAAAATTTGTGATAGACGAATTGTATGTTATTTAATCGGATTTGGGTGAATTGAAGAATGCTTCTAGTCAATAATTTTCTTTTTTAGCAACTAACAGTCGTTCACATAATATTGATGTACTTGCATATCTGTTAATTTTAATAGACCAAACAGTGCCTAAAGCTTATTATAGTTATAGTATCAAAGATAGTCTTAACATAGTCAGATTTGCACGTGTATTCTTCTAATGCTAAACAATTTATTGAAAATATTATACAACTTATAACAAGAACATAAATTTCAAATAAACACTATTTTTTGGTGACGACGGGGTAAAGTAAACGAAATTCTATTAGGCCGTCAGTTAGATGATCAAAAGATAATGGATACGTATTTTTTCTTTGGGCAATCAACCAAAAAATGACAAAGATAAAGCGCGTCAAAGTTTAGGAGTAGGGGCTCGTGACGTCACTTTTAAGTGAAAATTGTACCAAAACGTGAAGTCATGCGACTTTTCAAATCAATATATCTCTGCAATGTTATATATTATGTGAAAAAAGAAAAAATACGTGTCCAATACTTTTTGTTAATCTACCTGATAAACGAAGAAAAAAAGAATAGTCGTCAACCCTATTTATATTATAATTATTGATAGGTAGATAACATAGATCCAAATCAGAGAACTCTTTTACAAACGTTGGTGGAACGACGGCGATATAAGAATTACGTGTTTAGTTTTTGCGTAACGGCGAAGGAACAAAAAAATGCAATTCACGTGAGGAGCGCACCGGGAGACGAACTTGTCTTGAAATGGAAGTTTACACCGTAACATCAACAAAATACTTGGTGCATGCCTTTTGGATACCAGTATGAAAGCGGACCTTTGGTAATACAGCATGAGAAATTTCAAAAAGTCAGGATCGTTATCTTCTTTATCGGGGGGCACGGCAGTGCCCCCGCCAAGTTGTAGTATTCCTCGTCAAAACACGCTGCAACAGAATTTGTGAATAAAAAAGACATGTATTTTTTTTTTAGATAGATCCGACGTGAAGTCCAGACGCGAATATAGCTGATACAGCAGTTCTACCTGCCATACCAGCCATCCTCACCTTGCCGGCCTGCATGTTTTTTTTGAGTGTATATGCTGTTGGTCGCAGATGATCTTTACAGCGTCACCGGGTTTGGGGACGGCGAGATCCTAAGGGGACCTCAAGCCAAGAATTGGCGAGTGCATCTAGAGGTATTCCAGGCGGATGGCATCTCCCCGCGGGGAGTCTCCTCTCCGTCTGGAGCCTCTAGACCACTCGAACCTGAGGGGGTCGGCTCAACTAGAGGGCGTCTCTGAAACTCGGACCTCGGCTCTAGTTAGCCGTTGTCGTGGGGGGTGGGGAGCCTGCATGTTGCTTCTTCACGCCTCTTTAAAAGGATCCCATTGTTAACATTGAACTGAATACTTCTCACTCGCCCAATCTTAATCGTGTTGCTAATACTGTATCTATAAAGACCATGCTACACATGTGATGCATCCACCAGTAAGAAATTATTACTTAATATTCTATGTAAAGGAGATTGAAAATCGCAATCGACTAACGATTGGATTCTTGAGCAGATTTTCCGCTGCAAGAGTTAGGTACATAACACATAATTTTGAAACAGGTGGTCATTTCCATGTTGCTTTTTCAATGACTTTTTTTGTTTTATCGTCTAATCGTATTATATTTTTATAGACTCGATTGTCCGCTATCTACTACTAAATCAAAAATAATGAAATTGTCACAATATGAGGTAACAGAAAAAGTAAAGGGAATGAGATGGAACCTTGAGGCACACATCCGCATCATTTAACATGAACCGAATTCTACTGCCGTCCATAAGGAAACGAATTCTACGTACATACAGGAAGTTAGACATACCAGGGGGCCAATCGCCTAACTGGATTGCTTTGGAAAACGCTATCGCTTACGATTTCATTTTGTTATTTCTAGCCGCCTGAGGTTTTCAAACGCCTCGCGCTCTTTTTTTTTCTTTTGCATTGGTAATAACAATGTTAAGGAAAATGAGCGTGAGGTATTTGAAAACCTTCGGCGGTTAGAAATAACAAAAAGAAATGGTAAGCGATAGCGTTTTCCAAAGCAATCTGGTTAGGCGATTGGCCCACGGGCCACCCAGACCCAGGCATAGAGATGAGTGGGCAGACCATATGCCAAAAGCTTGGATTGAATGATTTAGCATCAGTCTCTCGAAAGCCTTGCCGATGTCAAGGTTAACCAAAGATTTGCTCCGCTTGTCAATAACATTACCCCAGATGTGTGCGAGTCACGTTTTGGTTTAAAACCGTGTTGACGATCATTGAAGTACTTTGTTTAGGACTGGGAAAAAGACCGCTGAATCAAACGGCGTAAAATATTTTTACGCAGGGATCCGTTTGATTCAGCTTACAACTAAATTATAGAGCAATCTCTCATATTTGTTTTTAAATATATTCTTTAAAAAAATATTTCATCTCCTAAAAGTAGAAATTCGAAATAAAATAATTATAATTATCTTAATTGGTGAAGTATTTATTAATAGATTGAATTTATTATCCGTGTACAAAATTATTATTTACTCCGTCATACCGCGCCGTCCCATCTTAAAACTGTATAATTTTACTTAGCTTATGATAAATAAACACTCCATTCATGGGCATAGATTAATAACAATTCATTTAAACAAGCAAATGAATCTTAAAGATAATCATAATCCTAATTATTTACATATTTCCTAGAGGAACACATATGTCCTAACAGCGAGCTTGAATATGAAATGACACAGACAAAATAAGGAATGACTCTGATGCAATGATACTTAATGATAAGTATTTAATCACATTTACACTGCCAAATAAACCTTTTAACCCTTGAACACTTTATATCAGTTGGCGTGTCCCTATCGCCAAGCATAGTAAATCGAAAATTAAATATCTACTAAAAATAGGGATGTTCCATGGTAGATCGATATACCCTCTACAGCTTGGCATTTTTTACAATTTCATCTAAATAGCGACAAAACGCAGTCGCCTTTCTCCGATCGTGGCGCCTGTTGAACTAACAATAACAACATCTAAGCATGCAGGCTAAGGATTTGAATCATCTATTCAGTCCAGTGACTGAATGACTGAAATAAATATAAAATTTCAGTACATTTTGTACTTATTATTATTGCTTTATTTATTTTATAGTAAAATAGTAAGTATAAACGTTAATATTTAAATTTATATGGTTTTTGTATCGGTAAATCTTAAGTTATGTCCCGTCCCAAATTGTCGATTTTTTCCGACATTGGCGTTGGACATCAATAAGTGTATTGATGTCCAACGACAATGTTATATCAGTATAAAGAATAATATCAGTAATTTCTCTCAGTCTGAGGTTATTTTTAGGTATCCTAGTTAAGAAACTAAAGTGTAATCAATTGTAAATGATTACATGATCAATTAAGTATTTACCAAATATAAACTTATTTTAATATAATAGGTACAGTATTATTAAACAGAAACAGCAGATTAAACAAGTAGTGATATTTGGTTGGAAAAATCCGACCTTAGCGAATAGAGCGGGAAATTTTGGTCGGATAAATCCTCGGTTCCGACCATGGGTGTCCGTGATGCTAGCGTACCCACGATCAATATACGGTTTTTCGTTATGCCATTAAATACTGCGTAAATAGTGCCAAATTAGTGTAAAAATAAAAAAAAATAGTGCCTCTTTAATTTAAGAAATAAAGACCATTTTTACTGTGTACGCTACCATGACGTCAAGCTAGCGTACCCATGGCCGACCCCAAGAACGGCATTTTATATATATTTAAGCAACGAAATTGACACACAAAAATAGTTCGCAAATAGTGCCCTGGCTTTACAAAATTTCATAATCAATACTCATAAAGGACCAAAGATATTGAACTAAACATTCTTAGCTGGCATCAACCTGGCGTACCCATAATAGTTCTCATAGAAAATGAACTTTTCTCGTTATCAATTCTATATGTATAAATAGTGCCTCTAACAGTAAAAGTATTTTATGTGAATCTGCATCACAACAATACATAAAGAGGATGTTAAATTCTAGGAACAAATGTATTGTAGTACAGTTACACACAAAATTAATTTATGCACTAAGAGATTTTCTATACCTAGGATATGTATTTTTACTAAAATAAATAGGTACTTTTTATAAAAAGATATTTTATTTCAATTCGAATTCACCAATCATAAATTCATATAAGAATTTCAACCTACCTACTAAGTACCTTACTTACCTACTATACTACGAAAATATTATCACTTCTGTACATGACTGTACTTCATATATAAAAATAATTTAATTGCTTTTTTATATTGTTTTACTGCGAATTAACATAAAATACTTTTACTGTTAGAGGCACTATTTGACACACTATTTATACATATAGAATTGATAACGAGAAAAGTTCATTTTCTATGAGAACTATTATGGGTACGCCAGGTTGACGCCAGCTAAGAATGTTTAGTTCAATATCTTTGGTCCTTTAAGAGTATTGATTATGAAATTTTGTAAAGCCAGGGCACTATTTGCGAACTATTTTTGTGTGTCAATTTCGTTGCTTAAATATATGCCGTTCTTGGGGTCGGCCATGGGTACGCTAGCTTGACGTCATGGTAGCGTACACAGTAAAAATGGCACTATTTTTTTTATTTTTACACTAATTTGGCACTATTTACGCAGTATTTAATGGCATAACGAAAAACCGTATATTGATCGTGGGTACGCTAGCATCACGGACACGACCTTGCGGTTAAAGAGTTAAACTAGTCATAATCTAATACATTAGCTAGAGGAATACTATATATCCCCATTATTACAAAATGTGGACTAAGTTGATACATACTGCCACGTTTGGTTACTTAATAGAAGACAGAAATTAGGTTTCATTCAACCAAGTATAAAGCCAGAAACACATTAACGTGTCCTGTCGTGACGTGGCGCGCCAGAAGCACATAGGTTTCATATATTTACTATGGTTGGAGACATATTTACGTGTCGTGTTGACGCTCTAACCTCTCTCTCACTAACCCATAATAAATATATGAAACCGATACGTCACGCTCGACCTCCACGACACGTTAATATGTTTTGTGTCTTCAGGCTCTAGACCGGCGGATTGCATTCTGACTGCCAAATTGCAGTTCAAATGCAGTATGAATTCGCGTGGCACGACTGCAATGAAACAGCTGTGCACTGTGTACAGATCATGATCAATACAGTTGGATCAAGATGTTGTGGCTCTTTTATGACATTGACAGGGGGGCGCTGCTGGTCAAATAAGGATAAAATAGGTAGTACTTGCGTAAAATCTCCTCACTTATAGGAAACGTTTTAATTTGCAATGCTTTGGAAATAGTGACAGGAGTTATAGCTATTAACGGGATTGTTACCATGTACCTTGTTTTCTATGAGTTTCCGATTTTTCGGCACTGTTGCAAGCGCCATGATCACGGAGTAAGTGGTAAGTTCGGAGACTCAAAAAACAAGGTACATAATATTGGTAGTGACCATGAAAGCCTTACTTAAGTAACTTAAGTTTACGTATTGTAATAACGGGGATTACCCTTATCCTAACAGCGCGCAAGAATATGAAGTGAAATACACATTTTTAAGCAATATCTTATCTCCTAGGTGTATTTAAGCATTTTCCGAGTCGAGTTCCTCCATTCTCTTGTGAGCTTTCTTAAGTTCCTCCAGCAGGGCTACAGCCTGTGTCCTGCCAATGAGCAGGTCGCGCTTGCTCTGCTCTCCAGTGAAGACATCGTCGGAGAAGATTGACAGCTTGATGGCGTCCACAGCGCCGTCAGGAGCCGCGCCTACCGCGACGTCTGTTACTTTGTTGACTGAAATAATGAAATTAAACCGATGAATATAATAAGAACCATCATCATCAGCATATTAATGTCCCCACTGCTGGGGCATAGGCCTTCTCTATGGGTGGAAAAGGGAGATTGGGCCATGACCTACCACGCGGGCACAGTGTGGATTGGCGAGTGCTAACGACTGCAGATGCAGCCGGGACCCGTTGGTCCCTTAACGTGCCTCCGAAGCACGGAGGAACTCGGGATAGAAGATTTTTGGCCACCCGTCCAATGACTGACCATTGTTGATGGCTTGTCTGCCATCGTGAAAGCTACGCAGCTCTCGACGTCGCCAGTTGCCGCCGGCTGCCAGTCGTTAGCACCCACCAACCCGCACTGACCCCGGTCCTGTAAGATTTGCCCCTCCCCCCCCCCCCCCCCGCTAATATGAATAAATAAAAAATGGAATGTTAGCAAGTGGCGCTTGCCCCATAAAGACTGCTATATACGTATGCAACGATTAACTATTAAAGAGCGACACATACACATGTCTTGGACCTTAAAATTATGTGACATAAACGACATTTACTTATTAACCCGTTATTCCTTTCATTTTTCTTGTAGGTATCCCTATGACAGTCGGTGGCTTCAGTTAGGGCAGTCGCATGGGCTCTGGGAACGCTAAGTAACAGGTCACGGCGCGTGAATTGCAATCTTAAAACTATGTAGGTAACATGAACGACACTAAATTATAAACCCGTTATCTCCTCACATTTGCTTCCTACGCATCTCTAAGAGAGTCAGTTGTTTCAGATAAGGCAGTTGCATGGACCTTAGGAACGCCCAGTCAGCCAGACAAGTCGTGGGAAAATAGACGTTAAAACTATGTAACATAAACGACACTCACTCATGAACCCGTTATTTCTTGCATTTGCTTCGTAGGTATCTCTGTGAGAATCAGTGGCTTCAGCTAAGGCAGTCGCATGGGCCCTAGGAACGCCCAATACTAACAAGTCACGGGTTAGTTGCACGCTGCTACATGCGCAAGAGCATGCTTGTTTCACCACCCAGCGGATGACGGCTGCAGCGCGCGCGCATTCTTCACGGGAGGCTGTAACATTTTTTTAAAACACACGTTTCCATTTATATGCTTTCGCTCTGATGGTAGCTCTTCACTCTCGTCAAAGTCACGCGAGTCGAGGTTTTACGAATTTACGCGAGGCGAAACAACACGAGGTGACACAAGAAAGTATCCATCTTCACTCTCGCCTTTGCTCAGTTCTCTCTGTGTCGCCAGCAGAATGAACGTGCTCGAAGTGGCAAATGCCGCGACTTTATTCGTCTTTGCGTATATGATTTCTGATAACATATAGTAAACTTATAAAATTAAAAAGCCTTGGCGAGCAAGGCGATGGTGGATAACATCTATACACCGTAACAGAAGAAGATATAAGTTACAATTTTATCTTTTAGGTGAAAATACGATTGCTACGTGAGTTATTTTAATCGTTATTTCTAAAAAAAAATGGGTGCGTGTACTTATGTAGGCGCGTGAGAAGTTATCCTTCTTTGGCATCGTTTAAAATTAGTTTTTAATTGCATGCAAATAATTAATTACAATAAATTAATAAAAAGTCTGGAAAAGGACACAGTCAATAAAGTTCAGTTTTAATTTGAAAAAATAAATAAATAATCAAAATATTCAATTAAAATCGCTACTGAATATAATTTATTAGAACATATGTGATTTGCACTTGTATGAAACTCAAACACGTATTCCGAATATACAAACTAGAAACATGTGGATAAATATTTTAAACTAGCAGCCCGCCCTCGCTTCGCTTCGCTTTTGTTCTCAGGCTTGTATTATACACAATGACATTCATCTATGATTCTTCTTATACCTGCATGCAAAGTCTCAGCCCGATCGGTTTAAAATTGATAAAGTTTCATACAAACTTTCATTCCTTATTTTATCCCCTTGGGATTTTCTTTATATTTTTTTCCGTAAGAACCTTGTACAGAGTATTAGAAAACTACAAAAAAAAAAACAGCCAAATCGGTCAAGCCGTTTTCATGTTATGTCGTGACAACGGAAAACGGGTTTCATTTTTATTTAGATAGATATGAAAACAGTCCTGTTCTAAATTCAAAACTCGTAACTTTTCCCGATGTTTGTTGTACGTGTTTCCCGCGCTAGGACCGCGAGTGGCCGCGCATGCGTACGGTGCGGCGGGCGACGCGGTAATGGCAGCGCGGCACATGAAGTTGGTCGCTAAAGCGACCAACTTCATGGTGTTAATTTTTTGTGTTACAGATGCGCGCGCATCTTAAAATTTCACTCTCATAATTTTTTTATAACGCGCCTAAAGAAGTATAACTTCAAAAACTACCAAAAAATGTTACTTAATCTCACTAAAATTTCTGGTGTCATACCGATTCAATAAACGCGAGAATGTGGACGCCGCGACTCGCCTCGTCTCCCCTCGTACCTCGCGCCCAAAAACCGACTCCAGTCGGAGGACAGACGAGACAAGTTGAGGCGCGGCGATGTGACGCGAGGGCCACCACTACCACTCTCGTGCTCGCGCTCCCTCGTCTTACCTCGGCGAGAATTAAGTGCTAGCATGAGAGGCCACAGTGAAAAACGATGGCGCAAGTTCGGCTGCGATAGTTGAAGTTAAGTAACTTTCTCAGTGGTAGGTCATTGGATGGATTACCAGAAATTAACTATCTTGAGCTGTTAAGTTAAGCGGTTGGTCCCGGCTGCATCTGCAGTCGTTAGCACCCACTAATCTACATTGGACTCGTGTGGTGGAATATGGCCCAGTCTCACTGTTCCATTCATAGAGAAGGCCTGTACCCCAGCTGTAGTGGCATTAATAGGCTTATGATGATGATGACTCACATAAACTCGTGTCCTTCAGTAGCTCCATGATGCCGTCGTCCTGTAAAATTAGAGATTTCAATTAAAAAACATAACGAAGTACAAATCTATGAATTAAGAGGCTAACGGAGTAAGTGTCGCTGCACACGGGCCACACGCCACAGCCACAAACGCCGCCACGAGAAGCTAGAAGCGGCTACTAAAGTGGCTGAAGCGCGCGAAGGGAGAGAGGGGTGGGGAATCGCGCGAGTGACGTGTGGCGGTGTTTTGTATCGGCGCATTAAGTGGCCGGTGCTGGCCACAAGAAGCGATCAACGATGATTTGTAGCGTGTGGCGGCCACCGGCGTACCGTGTGTGGCGAGTCCATATGAAATGTATGAAAACTACAAGAAATATGCCGGTGGCGGCGATTTGTGGTTGTGGTCGGTGGCCCGTGTGCGGCGACACTAAAGTTGCCTACCGCCTATATATTTTGGCCAAGCGAATCAATACCAACGTATAGATAGCATATTTGTCTATCCTTGGCATCGCTCGGTATTGCTTGCCTAATTAGGCGAGTAAAGGGAAACGCCAACGTATATATATAGACCTGATTAGGCGTCGCTTGTTGGCACTCACTGTCGCTCGCAAAAATTTGTCCATAGTTCCTAATAGCGCACGCACCAACATATGGGCAGCTCCACAGAACACAAAAAGAGGTAAGAAGGGTGATTATATACCGTATACAAGAACCGACGTAGCCGGCTCCTCCCCATTACACTTCCACCTAATAGATAATAGCCAATCAAATGACGCGACATCAAACAATCGAACCAATCAGCGATTACACCCGAAAGCAACAATGCAATCAGAACCAAGTTTAGGAAGAACTCATACACAACTGTGGCGCACCTGCCCCGCTCACAAGGCCCTTCTATCCTCTTTCTGTGTTCTGAGCCCTAGAACTGCAACTTTACTCATTGATAGAAATACAATTCCATGTATCTAAAAGTAAGTACTGTTATTTATTTATTCTGGATCTTCTGTAAGATGGAGGTACTTTAAATTATACAGTTGAAATCCAAATTTAGTAGAACTTTCTTTTGTAGTGGGTGTGTAGCTTAGGTATTGAATTAGTGCGGCATTTTTTTACGCCCCATCAACTGTGCTTGTTGTACAAAACGCAAGTGCGGTCCTGCGTGGAATATTGCTCGCACCTCTGGGATGGCTCCGCTAAGTACTTACTCGATGCCTTGGATAGGTTGCAGCGTTGCGCTGCCGCGATGAAGAGGTAACTAAGAAACTCGAGTCTCTAAAATTATGCCGTGATGTGGCATCATTAAGCGCATTCTACAGACTATAAAATGGCGAGTGTTCTGAGAAGCTATTCTCGCTTATCCCTCCATCACCTTTTCTTCAGAGGACCACGCGCGCTGGCCTACGTTGCCACCGACTTACTGTGGCCACTATTACTACACGAACAAAGAAATTTATTGACTCATTTCTTTGTCGTACTATTTGTAAGTCGAATTCTTTGCCCGCGCACGTTTTCCCTCCTTCCTATAATCTGGGGTCCTTTAAGAGAGGCGTGAAGAAACATTTTTGCAGACCGGCAAGGTGAGGATATCTTCGCGTTTGGACTTTATCACCACTTAACATCAGGTGGCGTAGAGTCATTTGCCTACCTCGCTATAAAAAAAAAAACTTCCCTAGACAGGCAGCCCAATTAAAGCCTGAATGAAATCCCTATGTTTTATGTGTGAGTTGTTGCATCACAGAGTCGTTACAAGTTAAATTTTACTATAACTTTAATCGGCCTCGCTTGGACAGATTATCACTGTCAAATTATGACCAAAGTTTTAAATCTATGATTATGAGCTCATTTTGCATATTATTAAAAGTTGGAAACCATTTTTTCCTAACCGTACCGGTTACTTTAATATTTGGCCGCTAGCCCGAATACGAGTGCCAATGAAATTCGGGTAAACGACTAAGTGTAAATGAACGGAGTCGAGTACGCCCGTATTCCAGTGTAAATATCGCTTCGGGTGCCCGAATTCGAGTAATGTCGTCCGGGCTAGCGGCCAAATATAATTGCGGCATGAGTTGGTGCAACTGACGCTAAAAGTTAACATCAGCGGCTAATAGAATGTCTTTTGTAAAAGCATTCCAACA